TATTTTACCCTTCAGATGATCAACGATATACAATGAATGCGCTATTATTGCTATAATTAAATATTAAACGGAAGCGTGACACTAACAAGCCACCAGTCTTGTCACTCAACCCCCTAAAACTGCCGCAAATCTTCGGACAATAAAATATTATCGGTACCCGAAGTCATGACGATTCCTCCACAAAGTAATGAGAATCCACTTCATTTGACTCATACGATAAAGAAAAAAGGCTATGACACCATCGCCAATACATCCTGCACAAGCAAATAAGATTCCTGCGTAAAAAGGTTAATTTTACCCGACCATAATCGAAAACGATACAAACGCCCAAGCTTATTACTGACCTTGCAATGAGCACACTCATAACAACACTTAAATGACGAAATTTGGTTACTTTTGATTAACTCTTCTACGTATAATTGTATATTGTTCAGAAGTTTAAAATTTAGCTCAAAAATTAGATAACCCCTTCAAATTTTTACGATTCTGGTCACGCATGACAAAGTAAAGTTGTTCCGGGTAGGCAAGTTATCCGTAGGCCTTATAAGGCAGGTTCCCTAGCAATCAAGTAGGGTAATACTAGCGCCACGGTAAGCATACCCGCCTTGAAAACACGTCGCGTAAAAAAGACGAAATGTATGAGTGCTAGGGTAACCCTCTTGCTAAGGTAACCCTAGCACCAATTTTCCTCACCTCCTTATAAACAGACCTTTGGTAATAACTTAACGTTCAGTAAGCTTCATTGATGAAAGACTAATGACGTCATCGACTTTCGCCAAAAGTTTCGTATAAAGTAGAAATATAAATAATAATTGTAGCTTAGGTGTGTATACTTACACTTCAAATTTTGTTTGTGGAACTTCTTTTCTAGTTGCATGACCCCTTATCTCTACCTTTAAATAATAACAAAAAAAATCCAACTTAACACCACCGAAATTAGTGCCCTTGTAGGAAAAAAGCCTAACCCTAACCAACCACATAGGACTTTGAAGTGACACAGCATTCGATTAGTACCGCAGTTAATTACTAAAGGAGCAGCTTTTGCTATAAACATACAGTATGGCTACCAGTCACTTTCCATTAATAACCCACAGCTAGCCAGTATACACCATGGCCCGATGACGACCAGCAGAAAAACTAACGGCAAATAATTGATCTGCTCGTCACAGACAAATCACGATATTTTGTTCAACCTCGTCCGATAATTGTTAATTATGAGGATGGAACAAGTGGCTATTCAATGAAATCTGGTTGTGGAGTTCTTTTTTTCTCTGACTCTACACTACAGTTATAATTTACATATTAAGTATTACGATGAAGTACTCGAAAAAACAGTTAACACAATAAAGTAATGACACCTCTTTCATCCAATTGTTTGGCTCTAACGTCTGCACTCTTGCCTGCCTTGTTTGAAGTCCATTGCCTAAAGGAATAAATCTTTAACACCAAACACACAGTTTAAAACCCATAACAGTGCTTGGAAAGCCCTTATAATGACAAAGGCTAACCTCTGGATAGAAACTAACGCGCTTTCCAACTTTAGGAGCTAAACCCTTTTTTCATGCAACGGCCGTTTTGTCATGTGGTTGCAAGCCAAGAATAGTGGAGACAATCGAGTGACCAATCAAGTGCAACTTATTTGGCAATTCTTTCACGGGCAATAATGGCGCCCTAAATTTGGCTTTTTTGTTGTGATTTGTTGCATGTGCAGTAAACTCTTACCTTACCGACACAGGCCTTGCTAGAACAGACACACCGATAACAGGAGAAGAAGACAAACGCCGGTAACTAGTTACAAGTTACAGACGTTTCGGTGGAATAAACTCCGGCTATTACCTAAGAACTCTCACTATAAAGGACACTAAACTAGCGGTGTCTCAAATAACTCAAGTTGGATGCAAAAGAATTGTCCTTTGAAGATGTTCATTTCAATGCTTGTCGTGGCTAGACATACCAGAGGGGCCTGTTCCGTGTAGGTACAAAAACATCTATTAAACATTTTAAGAGAAGGATTTCAAGACCAAAACTGTCTTGAAAGCTCACTTTGCGGGAGCATATTTTAGCAACAGGCATCGGAGAATTTAACTTTTAAGACAAGTTTGATTTTACCCTGCTAGCTGAGTCGCTTCGATCTTTCCTAGGTAAGTCGGGAAAGAGGAAGCGACTCTGCCGACATCTTCAAGTTCCTTTGATCTGCCGATCATCCAGCTTTTTGGATGAGTCAGACAAGTTTTATACTGGATAAACCAGTTTTATCTGTGCACGCACGCATATTCTGGAGTTTTGCTGACTCTTTCTGCACCCACGCCCCATAACAAAACAAATAGCTGCCGTTTCGATTTCATACAGGAATTTTGAGAAAATTATAGATTGAACGTTTAGTTTTTGAACGTTTAGAAAAATTGTAAAATGTACCCAGATTCGAGATAGATTTTGTTTTGGATTTAACCATTTACTTGGCCGATTTTACTTGGGTGAACGGATCCACAATCCAGTAAGTGTTACGCGAAGTTCTTGGGAGGATAAATAAATGGGTTTTGAATGCAAATATTTAAGATACAATATTTATGTTTATTCTTTTGCGTTTGCCATGACATTAATTCAAAATAAGATCATGAGGCTACAGAATCCATGTTGCATTTAAATGATCGATTCTTTTACAGCTGTTTGTGGATAACACCCAACCTGCGATGCCAAAAACGTCTTTGGATTTTGTGTTTTTCTACGAAGTCAATCTGAAGAAGCGGCGCTTTCTTCGCTTTCTCGTCTTTACATCTTAGCGAACGAGCCTCTTAGGAAACAAAAGGTCGTAGTTTGTGATTGGTGGATTTCGATCCGTTTTGTGTGTTTCTGTGTTTCAAGGTTAGATGCTTTGTTTTTGAAAAGCACCGTACGTTTTACCTTAGCTCTAAGATTTTTTAACTTCTTTACACTGAAACATGGCAAGTTTAGATTCCAAAGGTGAAATTGTTCCTATGGAGCTTCCAAATCCAGAGGACACACAGCTACGGAAGGGTGAAAACGAACCGGTACGTTTCCGCTAACATTTACATTTGCTGACAAACACAGTGGATGCTACGGTAACGGTTTGATTGACGTCGCAGAAAAATTTGAATTTGGAGCATGCTCAATATGAATTGTTGAGGATGTCGACAGAGGTTCCTTCCTCTTCCCGACTTATCTAGGAAGATCGAAGGAGACTCTGTTCGCAGGGTAGTTTGATTTATTCACTGCAAATCTTTCACAGCTCAAACTTGAGATTGCTTTGCTTTTCAGCAAAAGTCAATAGTTTATAATTTACACTACGATGAGTGTTACTGTGAACTTTGTTCTCACTTTAGTCAGTATGAAAATACCCCTGATCTCTTCTACCTGCCATGAGCTCCTGGTCCCACCCCTATGAACTGCGTACCATTCCAGTATGCCATGTTATGTTTGCTTTCTGCACCCTGTAGAATGAACACATTAAAAAAATTGAACTCTAAACTAAATCATAAGATGCACAGAGCTTAGCCTCCCCATCATAAAGGCCTCCTGACGCTGTTAGAGCACAGCCCTGTGGTGAAGTTGGTGAAATAATAACTGCAAATGAACAAATGGTGGTAAAATAATGAATGCATATTGTTGAGTCTGAAAGTTTCTTCGATTGCAGTTGAGGTATATGATACTTTGCAACTCTATTGTTAAAATGGAAATCAAACGTTGTTCTTTTCTAAACGTTGTTGTCTGCGGAGCTGATATTTTTAAGATTTAATGAAATTTCTTGTGGTGAAGATACTTAAGAGACCTTCCTATCGTCGGTCGGCTTAGATGTTCATTTTCGCCTACGCTCTTGCGCGTTTACCTGGTTATTTCCTCAATAGAACGTTGGAAAAAAATAATAACTGGCAGGAGGAAACCACTTGGTTATTCAGAAGTATGGCCGGGGAGGAGTTGAACTCTTGATGACTGATAAGCAAATCTAGATAGCAGTCTGCAGCGCGCGCGGGACCGTAATTAAGGTTGGGGCTTGAGACTTCCTCATTGCGAGTCCGACGCACTTTTAACACCTGAATGGCTCTTTACCTTATGATCACAATGAAAAAGAGGGGTCCGACAATGAACCACTACTGAAATCCAGAAGAAAGCGAAAAATCTTCAGATGTGATTAAAGAATCAATGCAAACAAACTGTCCTCTTAAACCAAAGATGACTTTCATCGCATACGCTGTAATGATTTATTTTCTAACGGGATCCAAGGCGTTAACAACCCAAAGTCTTTTACTAGCCCGCAACCCGTCTCTAATAACAAGGGAATTCCAGTGCCAAAGAGTTGTAGTTTGGATCACCCTGAGAGGATTGAATCACTGAACCATTCTTCATGGTAAAAGAAAATTGTGGCAAGTGAGAAAATTATGCTGATACAGGGGACTTCATCTAAATTAAGCTTACCGGTTTTGCAAAGTTAGCTATTTCATATCTGTGAAATCCGTTTCTTAACAGCGTCTATAAAACAATAATGATATATCTTGTCACGGTTATACTGCCTTCAAATGTAGAATAAATGGAGAACAGAATAAGAAGATATTGATGCTAAGAACATTGCTGACCTCTACCGCCATCTGATACATTTCAGCAACAACATCAGAACTGGGAAGAGACTGAAACAGATAAGTACTGTATCAAAAGGCATGTTTACTAGCAAATTCTTGCTCTTAGGGATAGTTCAGACACTAATAATAATGGTAATAACAATAATAATAACAATAATAAGAAAAGCCTTGGCAAACTTAAAAGGTGATATTATTGTCCTTCGTAAATCTGCGCAATGAGCAGAAAAAAATGTGATATCCAAATAAGATATAGTCAAATGCTGTCAGTCTAATGCACGCAGCCGTCGTTGTGCGTGTGAGCTGTACCAGTGGTCACAGAGGGAGGTCGGGGCGAGAGAACTAATCAGAAGTTTGGACATTAACAATCTTGAGTCATCGGACACTTTTGGGAGCAATGACGTCTAGTACGTATTATCAGAAAGGGACAAATAGGTGACATAAAAAATTGACAATCATAATCACTCAGCAAGGCGTAATAGGATATACACCAGCTTTTGTTGACTTGACCCTAACAAAACCTAGATATAGTGCATAATATTGCGAACTTACCAATTTTCCCAACTTAACATCTCTGAAAAGTGGTGTGCCTCTCTCAAGAGTCAGCTGATAAAGTGAAACATGGTCATCACAGACATCTATGGTCTAAACACACAAGGCAACCAATATTACATTACTAATAACCATTTTTCAGTGTAATCAGAGTCCGATCCAAGTATATTAAATAAATCTCATAATGGTTCGTTATTTTAAAAGCGAAATTTTAAACTACTCAGCGACAGAGAGCAACTATCTGGATTGTCTCGAAAGAAAGAAAGAAACAAACAAACAAACCACAAACGAACGAACGAACTACTGGGAACTAGAATACTCGGTCCAATGCCATCAGAGAGTTACAAATGAACAGTTCTGAAATTCCTGCACAACCATCTTAAAATGGGGCCTAGCAAAGTCACCAACTATTTTCATAAATAAAAACTTGAGTGAGCTTCCTTGAAAAAGAGTTTCTCAGCATGATATCAAAACAACAGAAAATAACCTATTTACAATATCGTACATTCTGACCTACTACAGGTTATATATTAATCCCTTCAATGATTAAACATTTCTTAAACTCTTGAATGCCTTTTGTTTGTTTCAAGTCATTGCTTAAGTTGTTCCATATCTACTGGGGTGTACCACAACAGTAAAGGCAGGCTGATGGCCAGCAGCCGCTTTTCTTAATCATGGACTATTAAGGCTCTCCCTGTGTCTTGTCTGCCTTTTGTGGATAGTTGATTGAGTAGCTGGCAGCATTGAGTACATGTCACACCTGGAGTAACTCCTTGGACCATCCCTCCAGTGATTGGTGTGGCCGACCAAACAGAAGATCTATTGATACCTTTCCAGGAAATATAGATTTTGCCTCCTGCAAAGCCCTGGCAGTTAAATGAAATTAACGATGAGTAAGAAAACTATAAGCACTGTGGCAGCATAGTTTCTGATGGAACCTAGTCCCCAACCAAAAAAATGTGACATATAGAGGTCCAATGAAATACGAGGTTTTAATGAGGTGCAAGGGGACATGTACCCTTTGTTTGACCAGATCTTTTCTGCATGTGTCAGTGAGGTGGATCAGTGTTTGGAATTGGCTGGTGTGAGCTCTTCGAGTATCCCTCTCATCAGTTGTTTCCTTCTTGTAATATGACGCCAAGTTCATTCACGTAGCAAATTGGTTATAACATTTGCAAGGAGTACTGTCTTTGAAAATGCTTTATAGATGTTTTCAAGTAGTATTGGAAAAACAGTGAAGAATTCGCAGTTTTGGTTCAGTGGCTGATATCAGGGTATCTCTCAAGCCAGCCTTAACGTGCATACAGAATCCTTCCACCTTATCATCTTCCAGATTCGGCCCATGGATTACTTTCAGTGACTTGGGAAAACACATCACACAGCTCCCTACGTGCTGGTCTGAAAGTAACTACCTGTAACAGGGGTCAGTCTGCGAGGAAGGTTGCGCAACAAAGCAGCAAACTTACTGAAGTGAATCCTTGACGGTGTTATCTCTTCCTAAAAGAAGTAAATCTTTCTGATTGAAGGCCTACAAAAACGTAGTAAAACCATTTTTAGCTGAACTGTCAAATGAACATCTGTAATAAGGAATTATTTTATGATAAACTTCGGAAGAATCTGTGGCTTTTTCTAGATGCATTCGACTGAAAAAGCTCTATATTATAACTGGCCAGTGGAATGTAAAATTCTCTTTAAACATTCTTCGGTTTGAAAGTCACCTTGCTGCTGGATCGTTCTTTGAACTGTTTTCAAAATGGTCAGAACATAACATAACATAACATAATATAACTTTATTATTTATATAGCGCAAAATACATGGGTATATGATCTAATGAGCTAAAGAAAAATTCTACCAAAAAACAATCACCAATTACAAGATCTTTCGCTCTCTCTGTCTTTGACAAATTTATTAAAGTAATCACAATTTTATATGTGTAATCGTTCTTTTTTAGTTCAAGTGTAGCAAAAAGCCAACCCACAATTGTTTTATCCGGTTACTATATACCCTAACATACATACATACATAAATAAATACATCCTTTAATCCTTTATGATCTTTCCTTAAACAAGGCTTTTCAAAGATATGCACACACAGTAAGCTAAAATACCTGGATGCCAAGAGAAAGACGGTTGATCCCAGCTGAAAGGAAGTGTCTTCAAAAGGAAACAAGGATCGGAAGGTCAGTCAACACAATTTATTACAAGTTAAAGATCATATAAAGTTAACCTCTGCCAATAGGATCACTATTTGATCATGTTAGGATTGTTTGCGAGTCTGTATGACCCTGAGAGCTTTGTCGGCTGGAGTTTTACTTTCCTGTTAGGAACATTCACGCCCAGCAGATTGAAGGATAGAGGCCAGACGGAGAGTGGTCCAATCCTCTAGGTTGGGTGGGGGGTTGGATGGGGGTATAATAACCTAGTCCCATAAAACCTTCCTATACGGAAACGGAAACTAGCGTCGCCTTTGTGCCCTATTATGGGAAAGCTCAGGCACAAGTTGACCAACGATTGAACCAACACTTAAAGTAAGAATTACACCTAAGCCGCCTATGAAATTACTATCGCAAAAAGTATGTGGAGATTGGTAAGTGGAACGTCAGGACCTGTGTGTGCCCAGTTGGTTAATGAAATGAGGAGGTATGAATTAGCATCCTGGAAATGATTGAAATGAGAGACGAAACTGTGCTGTACTCCGAACTGGATGACGGTGACCATCATGAGAGAGGATTTGGTTTAATCCTGTCAAAAGGTAATGACTAGCGTGTTAGAATGAGACACGGTATCTGAGAGAATCATCAGGATCGGGTGCAACTCAAGGTGGCAGCAGGTCAAGGTCATATAGTGTTCTGCCCCAACGAATGAGGCAACAGATAAGGCATGAAAAGTTGTAGTGAGAGTTAAAGCAGGTGCCAGGCAGAGATTGTAATGAGTAAAATCATAGTTATTACAATGGAATAGTTATGTCATAAGTTAGTTAAGGACTTAGTTTCGATAAATCGAGTGCTCGAAAAATCGGGATTGCACTGTATTTCTCTCCGAGTCCGAGTTTAGAGATTATTGTGTATGAAGTGTAATTTATTCAAAAAAGGGAATCTTTTCATTTTAAAACTTGTATCAAACATAATGAAATAATGGGTTGCTAAAAATTGTCACTACTAAATTATTTTCTCCTTGAATAAGTATAGGTACTCATCACTTTTTACTGTACCTAAGTCAGCAATCTGCTCAGCAATTACACATTCCCCACTCAAGAATTAATATTCGAAAGTTTTGCCCGACCGTCATTGGAAAATACTATTGGAACGATCTTCCCCTTTCTATTCGCAATAAATCATCGAAAATCCTGTTCAAAAAGGCACTTAAAAAATATTATCTTGCTCAATATTGACTTGTGTGCGTGTGTGTGTGCGTGCGTGCGTGTTTGTGTTTTAATGAATAACAAAACTACAAAAGAATAAAGTTAATCTTGTTAAAGGGCCATGATTAGTTTTACTATAATGTGCCCTTCTCCATTCTAATTTTCTTCTTTTGTTATTATTATTATTATGTACACGTAGCGTAGTTTAAGCAACTTTGTACCAATTGATATTGTACAACTAATGTATTATTGATATTGTACAACTATTGTATTATTGTACATCTAATGTATTATAGGATGGAGTAAAAATAAAACACAAATACAAAATACCTAAGTTGGCCTGTTTCAGCAGATGTTGGATTTGCTTCCAATGTAATTTCAACATCAGTTGGTAAGTAGCTAAATCTTGAAATGGTTTCTAGCACTGACGAAATAATCAAAGGTTCTGCTAAACTTGGGGTACCTAAAGGAAAAAAAAAATTTCAACCAAAACTGACAAACACTTTACGATCAAACACCAGACAAAATTGTTTAAAAAACAAGCGATAATTAGCGTATCATGACCGTGGGACAAACACAAATTTAGAGTTCCTGACAGGGTTCAAACCTATGACGTCCAGAGCACTGGGAAGGCACGCCATCCACTGAGCTCCGGATAGACTCCTGAAGGGTCAGGTGCATATACTAGTTTCGTATTTACCACGTGTCATGCATACTGTTAAAATCAGCAATGTCGCGTGTATAATGTTGCTCAATATCACATTTGTTTACGTACTTCAGGTAGCTAAATGTAGCTTTATACCGACCTTGTTGATGTAATACGGAAGAAAACTTGGAGAAGCCATGATTAAAGACAAAAAAGAAGTAGCACAGTCGGTTAGTGTTGCGGGCCACCAATGCGGGAGGTTTTGCGTTTGATTCCCAAGTATGATCTCAAATCCTTGTTTCGACTTTTTCTTTTACGCAGAGCACTGATGGAGAGAGTTGGGTAAGATGAGTGCAGCATCGGCCACAGGTTTCTCAGTGCAATGTGTATTGGTACAAATTACCGACGTGAGATAAGGACCTTTACCTGTACTTTAACATTGACCGCCAAGCAAACGACATAAGAGAAAACAAACGCTCAGATCTGATCAAGGTCCGGTAAACAGATTACACTGGATAGGATCCCATACTTTCAAAGGGAAATAAAACAAAAGAAACCTCCATAAAACAGAATGAGAACAATGAGAACATCTGTCCAAACTGCGGATTCGACCATGAGAGACCACGTCAAAGTGCTCAACCTCCTGAAAAACTTGTACCGCTTTCTTCAAAAAAAGTTATTTTTCCAATGCGCAAAGGAAAGAAAAATGACAAAGATAAACAAAACGAACCCACGCCAGCTCATTAGACTCTGACCTCGCATTTCAGTTACGAAGCGGTAATCCACGCACATTCTGCGCACCCACTGTTCATGTTCTAATCCATGGTGAAAACGGAGAAAAGGAAAAAGACTCCGGCCGATAAGCAAGCATTCTAGACGGAAATTCAAGAACCTACAGTCAACTCACCAAAGCAAAACGTATCACTGCAACCCAGTGACACGAAGCTCTATGCCATTGCCCAGAAAATAAAAGCGCCATTACAGGAAATAAAAAACAAAGACCTTATTCATCGTTGTCAAGGGAAGCAAGAAGTCTCTCTAAGTCCCGATACTATTGTGGAACAAGAATTATTGCAGGTACCCAACACAACCAATACAGAGCGTAAGTCTCCAATAAAGGACAGTGCCAGTACCAACCAGGACCCTGCAGAGAATTACTGCGTCTCAGCAAATCCACTTTTGACTTCCGAGTACAAGTTCAAGGACGGTTTGTCTGATCCGGGCAAAAACAAGAAAATCATGGCAAAGTTAATAGTAAATAAAGGCGTAACTCCTATTGCCCTTAAACTGGAAAAAATTCTCGAGCCTAAAAGGCACGAAGTAGGAACAAAGATTTCATTACTTTCGAGTTCTCGTCAGGCTATGAAAAACAATGTATGAAATTTTCTCCCTTAAAACATTAATTAAATTGAAAAATTGTTGATACAGCAGGTTTGCAATTTTCCAAATTATATAAATTTAACCATTACAGAAATGCGCGAACAAAGCAAACTTGCAGAGTTTTAAGCTCAAAACCTTTTGTGAGCTTAGTGTTTGCAAAGCAATAAAGCTTGAGATGAACAAAGTGCACAAACTTATTGTTCCGAGGGCGGATCAAGAAGTTCTGTCACTTAACCTATATCTCCCATAGTTCACCTGCAATTTCAAGAATTACAGTCACATTGCCTCAAAGCATCTTCCCTCGACTTCTATACATCGTTGCATCCTCATCCTCCACTTCTGAAAGCATTCTCGGTACTCTGAATCAGGTATGGCCCTCATATCTGAATGCACAGCTTTAGCAAGGTCTTGGGTCCTTGAAAAAGGTTTCCCAGCAAGGGCAGATTTGAATTTTGGAAAGAGCCAGAAATCGCACGACGCCAAGTCGGATGACTATGGTGGATGTTCCATCAAACGGATACCATTGTCATCAAGGTACGTCTGTGTGATGCGAGCTTTGTGAGGAGCTGCATTGTCGTGATGTAACTGGATTCGAGACCGACGTCGAGTCCGTGCCGTTGACTGATTGTACAGAAGAACGTTTGGCAAAACTGAAGTTGTGTAATATGTGGTAGTGACTGTAGCTTTGTCGGGCGTTATGTCGACAACAACAGGCCCTCGAGTATTGACGAAAACGGTGAACATTCTCTTTCTTGGAGGGAAACCTGTTTTCAGGGCCTCAGGGCGTGGTTCATCTTCGGCCAGCCACACCATGTTAGAACGTTTATCTTCATAGTGAAGAAGGGAATCTAACACTCGTCACCCGCAACAACATCAGAAAACCTCTTATTTAGGGCCATCAGGTTCAAATACTTGCAACTAATCGCGGAAGATTGTTACCCTTTGTTCATTCAGTTCTGTTGTCAACTGGTGGGGGATCTCATCTTCTTGTCATCAGAAAGCTTCAATAAGCTTTAAACTCCAGTGGTAACCTGGCTAAGCTTTTTTCATTATTTTCTTTTGCATATCAACGGCCTTTCGTTATTGAACACGGACTGAACAACCGATTGAATAATAAAACTTGGTGCAGTTGTGACTGTATACATTTCAGGTAGGGCGTTGTGTCACGCATTACTGTTTCATTGTATCTTTGCCTGCGAATATCGTCTTCTCTCCTCGCTCCTCATCATTCGCAGGCTAATTGTAACTAGGCAACTGTGAATAAAATCGTTGAATTAAACTGATAGGAGTATTGTTTACTGTGTTGCTCAATTAAGTTTCTGCGCTCATGATCCGCAGTAATTTCTTTTGTTGACACAGCAACTAAAAGGGCTTTCTCTGATTCACGTACGCAATTATGAAAGCGGTTCTCATCTGATCAATCACATCTTTAACCCACATGTTCGCCCGCAATTCCTAACCATCAGTTACTGCTAGTATGAGCCCTAAATTTCCATAACAATCAGGTGTTACTGAGGTCTAACGATTAACCTAAGATTGAAAAATCATTGTTGCTTGGAGAACTTAGGACTTTTCTTGGTGACAGAACTTCGTAATTATCGATGAAGTGATTGTTGCTATGAATAAAGTGATAGTGAAAGCAGGTATTATTTTGAAACAGAAAAGACTGTGACAACACAACTGCGTTTACACTCTCCCATGCAAACGACCCTCTCAGCCAATTGGAGCATGCAAACTACCTTAGTTATTACATAATACTACTTAAATGCAACAATAATCTAACCTCCACCAAAGTAAACTGATGTAATCTTTTTTACACCAGATAATTGTAGGAGAGTTTTAGTTTCAGCCACCAGACATTTTTTCATGCGGTAATGATCCACGCTGTTACTACAAATAAAAAAGAGAAAAATGAACGATTAGGTTATTCTCTGAGTTATTCTTGTCTAATTTACAAATAATTCAAGTGACATTTACACCAACCTAGCATATTTGTTGAAATTGCAAAATGTACAGATCTTTGTGCAGAAGGGCCACTGAAGGGAATGAAAAAAACAAATAAATTAACTTTATAGTAGCAGACAAAATATTAATATCAACGAAAGCGGGAAATCATTTAAAAAATGGGTGACAGCAAAGCGGGCTAGGTCAGAGGTGAGCATGGACGATATCCTAAAGGCTCTGCACTCGTTAGGAAAACAGAACAAAGAATAGAAAACAACATGGAACAATAGAGATTTTAAACTGAGTTTCAAGTACAGGAAAATAATGTAGTACTTCGAAGAATTATGCACTCGTGTAAATGCACAAGCATATTATTCCACGAAGATAAACTGACGGTGAAAATGAACGCTTTGGGGCAAGAATTCACGAAAAGGAAACTCTCTCGAATCTACACAAAGTATATTTCGAAGGCTGGACAAAGTATTAAAGAGCTTGGAGGATAAACTGATCCATGCTATCACAGAGCACTCAATGCAAGTGAAAGTAGAAACTTCGACTCCTTTGCAACGAGGGCTTCAGAATGCAACCTCTAAGTTTTCATCACCTTTCTCAGTCTGCAATGGGGATCCCGAACACTAACGGCCGGTTCAAAAAAACCCAATCATTTGACGGCAAATCGCAGTAAGAGTCTTACATGTACCAGTTGAAAATAGTCGCTAGAATGAAACAATGGAACGGCGAACAGAAAGGAACTATCTTGCGACGAGCCTATTGAGGAGACTGCTTAACTCTCCAGCCGGGAGAACACAAATCTAAAGCGTCTTAACTCTAGGTCAAAAGTCATAGCGTGACCAGTTATATAAAATAAAAGGTTCTTGAAAATTGTACGACCAAAGTAGGTTCGTGCGAAAGGATCACCATTGCATGAATTACGTCAGGGTTAAAAATGCGGGGTGCATGAACAAGTTATAGCTAAGCTAAAAGCAATTTGATCCAAGAAGCCACTCGATTGGACGGTGGGCGGACACGATGACCGGCCACAGAATTTTTTGCTCGGTCAAGTATCGTTTCGGACCGGTCAAAATATTGGGAACAAGTTAACTTATTCTTCTGTAATTTCTATTTGAGAACGTGATTTTCTTTCAAAGAAACAAAATCTTACATTTACAGGTGAGGACTTTGGCTCTTTTTCAAGAATGAGAAGTAAGCGAGGCCAGTCAACATAACCGGCAAGTGAAGTTTTTGGCTGGTAAAGTCACAATTCAACATTGTCCGTTGACCGGCCATTATTTTGAGCGCTGGAGTTACAATGCATCTTTTCACTTTTTAGTTCATTGAAAGTTAAGTAGCTTTAGCAGGCACAAAATGATGTCACAGGTAACCAGTACAGGTTTAGAGTAGAGGTCAGCGTGCTACAGTAAATAAACAACACTACAAGTTGAAGATGGGGAAGAGACTTTTCTTCTATTTTCCTATCACAACAAAAAGAATTAACTTTACCGATGCATTCAAACTGCTAGGGAGAAATCCCAGAGGTCTGCATAAAAACCAGTAAAATAATTGGTGTTCTTCCCCTACGGATATATAAAACTGCCATACTGTAGCTTGGTGTGGCACTTTTTAATGACAGCCCTGATCGAGTCTCTCCTTATGGTGACCTTCTTACACACGCTGGAATGACTAGTCTATATAACATGAGATTACAAGATATCGCTATCTTTATGTTCAAAATAAGGAATAGATTACTGCCTTACAACATACTAGAACTCTTCTCGTTATCGCCTTCGAACTACAACCCGAGGAACCTGAGGAACTCGGACTTTCACGTTCAAAGGCTAAAAACTGTTAAATATGGAAACATTCCCTCAGATTTTTTGGGCCATTTTTATGGTCAAAATTGAGTATGAAGGACAGAAACGAGACCTCCTTAAGCAGGTTTAAAGCAAATATAAGGAGAAAAGATCTGAGCAAATTGGTTAGTGATAACGCATGCAAAGGGTGCCACCTGTGTGACTCATAATTCATAAACAGAAAATAGTAGAAGTAGAGTTGATATAGTAGTTAATAGTAGAAGTAGAGTTGATATATTATAAAATTGTATATATAGTTTTTTCTTATTTATTACATAGGTGTATTTTCGAAGCATATTGAATATCGTGTATCTTTTAAGTAGTTTTAGAATAGTTAAATCTTATTAGCTTATAGTATTACGTATATATATTTCTTATTAATAAGTAATTTAAGTAGTGTCCCCGATTAGTAGGGCGTATGGAAAAGCCAGAATCCGGAATCCGGAACCGGAGCTGGAAACGGAAACGGAAATGGAACCGGAACCGGAAATGGAACCGGAACCGGAACCTGAACCTAAGAAATAAAACTTGGAGACGTTTCTGTCTTAAGAGTGTCACTAACAATTATTGCTCGATCAAGACTTTTCATCCCCAAATTATTTTTATTTATTGTTATTATATTTTTTACTGTCGCATTTTTTGCGTACAGCGCAAAACTTTTCTTCGAGAATTTCATATACGCGTGAGCGTTGCAACTTGGGATCATGATTGACATGAGTACTCCTCCTCCCTTCACCGCCTTTCCCTCACAATGGATGAAACACAGAGCCCTTTTAAGGAATGAGTAACTTAGGCTCAAGAGAAGGAAATGAATAACGCACCGGTCTTAAACATCACATACTAATAATGGCTATTTTTCGCAGTCAATCGGCTTCTGATTAGTTGTAGTCTCGATCTGTCGAAAATTGCTCGACCTACAGCTGCAGTCACAGTTTATGACTGCTAGGAATAACAGTAGGATGCACTTACATTTTTTTTTTTGCAAGTCACTTTCCGAATGTGAGTATACCTTTGGTATCACGATCACTGTGCTGAAAATTTCTCAAAACAATGATAACAGAGGACGCCATCTTGAATTTTATTCCCACACGAGTATCGGGAACTGGTTTCAGTGCTTCCCAGTTTACTCTGGTCTCATTTAAGTTCCGGTTCCGGTTCCGGTTCCGGTTCCGGTTCCGGTTCCGGTTCCGGTTCCGGTTCCGTTTCCGTTTCCGTTTCCGTTTCCATACGCCCGATTAGTAGGACTGACGGCAAGCTAGAAGATTAGGCACTTAAATAAAGTTGTTGATTGATTGATTGAAGGGTCTCTCAGCGCTAATCATGACAATCCGAAATAGAGTTTTAGCTTAAGGGGAAACTGCTTGTCTCAGTTATTCATCAATAGCGCAGTGACCTGCACTTGTGACCTGTGTCCTGTGTTAAGTACCTGCCAGAACATTCTAAAAGAATAAAAATACATTTCCGTCAACCATTATGGTCAGAAATGGTGGCAGCGCAGTCTGTGGTGGCTTTAAACATAACAAAAAACAACTGCATGACTACTTTGAACACTTTAATTTGGCTAAGTTTTACTTACGTGAACATACAAACAAGCTTCCATGTCTTCGGGTAACGAGGTGGTACTTCCTTGAGGATGAGAATGAAATAGGGCGCTATCACAGTGCCGGCGTCCCCTTTTGAACAGATTTGAGAATTGCCGTGGAATGAGCAACCTCCATGGGCTGCATGGTGAATTGAGCTTCATATGACGGCATCTACATACAGCCATTTTTCAACAAACCAGCGGCTTTACAAGGAACAAAATAAGATGTTGTGTATGATGACATGGATATTAACTCTGTAACCATCAGGGCAGGGGTTTATTTTCCCATATATGAAGTACTAATTACTTACCAAAAAATGGCGGAATTGACACCTCGAGGAGGGCTTTTTGAGATTTGTAATTATGGAAAGCTAAGAGGACGCGGTTTGAGGGCTTTGAAATCATCTAAGCCGGGTGATAATATTCTTGAATCCACTCCTGTGGTCTTTGTTTTAAGTAACAATGTGCGCGGACAATGTTGCGACATGTGTTTTACCCAAGGGGGTGATCTTCAACGTTGTTCGAAGTGCAAATTTGCACGCTACTGTGATAGACAATGTCAAAAGAAGGATTGGAAGGAACACAAAATCGAATGTGGACGGATACTTAGAGTTTCTCCGAATGTTCCAACTGATCTTGTGCGTCTCATGGCAAGGATCATGCAAAAGAAACATTCAGACGCCGCATTGTGCAAGTATTTATCTCAGCTTGTTTCCCACCACGAGCAGTTAGGAGAACTGAGGAAGGACGCTTTTACTACCATCATAACGGTTCTTAAGCATTTTGTTGGAGGTAAAGATTTTCAAAAATTTTCAACGGCCGAGTTGTTTGAGCTTTTTGGCAAGATATCATGCAACTGTTTTACTATATGTGATGCTGAATTACAGCCTCTGGGTGAGCATATTTTGAGAACTAAATATAGCGACAGAACAACCGTTTAATCCTTAAGGAAACCAGTCGTATTGATACAAAGTCGTTTCGGGACAGGTCGTAGTAAGATTTCCATCTAACCCCGTACATTTATCATGCATACACGTTTCCACTCTATTCTTATCAAAATATTTGTGATAAAACGTATATGATTGCTGCATGCATAATAAATGTATGGAGTTATACGGAAATCTTACCCAGCTCATTTTGGTACAAACTCAAGCATAAAAATTTCGATCATTTCAAGTATAGTTTGATAGTGAACAAGAAAAACATTTTCAGTTAATATTCGTTTTTTTTTTTTTAAGCCAAGTACGTGGAACTATTTACAACTCCACTGAATACACTTGTATTGAAACAACTTTGTATCGAAACAACTGGTGACCATCCTTAATAACTAGCGCAATAATGAAATATTTTTCTCTTTCTCATATTGTAGTCACTTGCAATATTTCTTCTGATAAATGGTAGTCTTCATAAAGGTAATGAGGTTGACTTGTCATGCATCACCTGTATTCAGACCCTGCCATTTCAGAGTGTTTGATTCTGATCCTCACTGCTACACTGTGAGGGTCAGAGGGAAAACCATTTAAAGCTTCACCTCCACTTTAACGTCAATAGATACAGTGGAATAGAAATACGAGAAGCATGTTTGTCTGTGATCAACAGTCACATTGACAGGAGGGTCATATGATGTTAGGCTGAAGAGGGAATAGTTTCACCAAAATAGCAAAGTTTGAGATGCACCAACCATTCACTGTGGGACATTGTGCATTTTAAGGGGTTGCATAACCAGTCACCTGATAAGCAAAAGCAAAGTCAAAACATTACAATCTACACCACAAGTTTCTGCATTGTGAGATAAATTGCAATTCAATATTACAATGATTCTTTATGATGATGATGATAATATATCCTGCCTTTACTGTTTGTCATTTGATATATAATTTTGGTGATGACATACCACTACACATGATAAAGCTTTCTCTGCAATGATTTTTCTTCAAATATTAAAATAAAATAGATGCATCAGTACACCCAGGGAAGTGCTCTAGGGGTGCCTGGTAGACCCTGGTGCCTTCCTTTTGCTCTTGGGAGACTATAGACTGCAAAACAGTCTGTTTCTTTTTCTAAAAATTGGTTTTTTAAGGAACAAAGAACCAGCATTAATATCTTGCTTTTGCAAAGCACATGAGCCCTTACAAGTCTCCATTTTCACCCTCAGTATAGATCTTCATTTAACTGCTCTCACTTCCTTGACCTTCCCAAAAATACTGACTATTTTGCGGTCCAGGGTGGGTAGGAAATGTTTGTTTTTTCATAAATGTCATCACCATCAGGGTTCGAAATTAACAGTTGTCCAGTTGTCCCAGACAACCAAAACTATCAATGAGGCAGCCAATTTGTGCTGAGTGGTTGCCCCTCAGACAACCCAATCTTCTAAGTCCTAATTCCCTAATTAGGAATGATTATTGCAGCTTTTTGCCCTGGAAAGGTTCATGATCCTTAAAAGTTAGTTGAAAGATAAAAAAGGCTCCAAACTCAACATTTGGCCTGAATGAACTTGTTGTTCTTTAACCAGCAGTTTATGTAGTTAAACATAGTCCATGATGCACTGTAGTGAGATGTGCACACGTGTGTATTCCTGCCATGTTTGTTCCCTGCGTGCTATAGCCTATTGATTCTTTGTGTAGCTGTAAAAATTTACGCCTTCACTTTGGAATTCACTAAGGCAGATAAAGCTACAGCAGATTAGTGGCACAAGACTTAGAGAGCTCAAAGAACTGTTCCTTGTTGGAAGTTTCAGGATTTTTCTGTGACTTGGCTGCAATTTGTTGTGAAAGGAAATGTTATGTTTTGTAGTTATTGCTCATGGTTTTTGAAAGATAAATCTGTATTTGGAAACCTAACAGGCCTTGATGGGGTCCAAAAACAGATAACAAGTGAGGCACATTTTCTTGTGAAAAACTAAAAAAAACTGTTAATAATTATTGAGCTACCTCAGTGTTTTGCTTTCTTGGATTGAACTGGGCCAAGAGGTTGACTTTGACAACCAAAATATTTCATGGGCAACCAAACCAAGTCCTGTGGTTGCCCCAGGGGCAATAGGACATAAAAGTAAATTTCAAACCCTGACCCAAGACATGATTTCACAGGACCAGAGATTTGGATTCCTGTCAGCTTTTCTAAGAGCACAGCCTTGATGCTGTTCTAGGTAGACTCATGTGAGCCCCAGACTTTGATAAGTAACCCCAAATCTGTGTCATGATTATGCATCAGATACAGTAAGTGAACAGTGTAAGATCATAAGACCTTTTTACTAAGTGTTCCAATTGATGTTTCACCTTTCACAGGTATTGGCATGTATCAAACACCTACTATGCTCAACCACTCATGTCATCCAAATTGTGTGGTAACTTTTAGTCAGACAAAACTTCTAGTCCATGCAACAGAAGATATCAAGGAAGGTGATGAACTTACCATAAGCTACACTGAACTTCTCTGCCCAAGTTATCAGAGAAAAGAAGATTTAAGGAACCGTTACTATTTTGAATGCAGCTGTACTAAGTGTTTGTCTTCTTTGGAGGAAGATGGACTCATGTTAAGTTTGAAGTGTTCTGACAAAAGGTGCTGTGGAGCAGTCCCAAGAGATTTGGCAGGTACATTGGCAATATCATTGTGCAGAAATGAGAAAAGCTATGTTCTTTTAAAACAGGAGGCAGGCACTCTTTTGTTGATTAAATTTCTCATTAGAAAAGCTCTTGCTGTGTCAGATAAAAAGTAAGTACTCTACTCATCTCAGTGAGTGAGAGGTGTGCTTTCGCCTCTGTCCCAGGCCAAGGGGATTACTCACAGAATGTTAACATTTTGAAGCAAGAAATACATTTTGTGGCAGTGACAGTCAGTGTATTTCTATCATTGAAGTATTTCTAATTTACATAATTTACTTAATTGTTATTGTATATTACTAATTGAGTTTTCCTGCAAAAGAGTGAAATAAACAGTGATTATTATTAAGGTGTATTTATAAAATTTAGCACAGTGTATATTGTTTATATTTTTTTTGTTCAAATATTATGAATCATTCTTTTCTCCAGTGGGCGAGTTTTCTGCTTGTAACACATGTGGTAAGAGCCTTTTGGACAAGACTGCTGGAACTAAGGCAGACACAATTATATTAAAGAGCGAAGAAGCTTTAAAAGACATTAAAGCCTTAGAAAAATCAGATGACCAGCAAGGTGTTCTTGATATTGCTGAGAGGATTTTAGCACATCAAAGAGGATTCTTTCACAAACTACATTACATCAAAGCAAGAATACTTGATAAAGCGATGGATGCGTGCATTAATCTGGAGATGTGGGAAAGCGCATTGGACTTTGGACTTCAAACAATGAATGCATACAAGCTCTATTATCCAATAAACCACCCAAGTGTTGGGATTCAGCTGTTTAGGATAGGTAGGTCATTACCTCAGTGTACTAGGATACTAGTAAAAAAGCCAGATTTAGGATAGGAAAGTGCAGTGGAGAGGGAACTGAACTGAAGTAAATCCCATCTGAGTCATTACCACACAGCTCGTCTTATCTTTTGAGGAATGGGTTCTTTGCTCCTTAGGAGGGTTAGATACATGGGTGGGCCTTTTTTAGACCCTGTTTAAACCTTATAAGAGGGATTTGGTTTTCAAAATGACATTCAGTTTTAGAACAATTTAGGTTCCAATTTAGATTCCAATTTACGTTCCTATTTAAGAAGACTTTTTTCTCATTAACGCTGTCCTTTTTCCAGGGTAAAGAAACTGACTTAAGACAAGCAACAGTAAAAAAAATCGGGCTTGTACGGGTTTCGAACCCTTGACCTCTGCGATAGCAGTGCAGCGCTCTACCGATTAAGCGAACAAGCCAACTGGGAGCAGGTCGCCTGAATTTTTTTCAAGCTTTCTTTTCGCAAAAGAATAAGTTGCGTATACAACGGCGATGATCTTCCTTCAAATAATTCTTCACTCCGCAGTTGACATACATGATTTTCGTATATTCATAATTTCATCATCATCCTTTCACGGGTTTACCACGAACCGATTCAGCGACCTGCTCCCAGTTGGCTTGTTAGCTTAATTGGTAGAGCGCTGCACCGGTATCGCAGAGTTCAAGTGTTCGAATCCCGGGCAAGCCTGAATTTTTTTCAGGCTTTCTTTTCGCAACTGCATAAGTTGCGTATACAACTGCGACGATCTTCCTTCAAATAATTCTTCATTCCGCAGTTCACATATATGATTTTCATATATTCATAATTTCACAAGCAACACTCTCTCACAATCCATTAGGGATACAGAAACCAGAAATGAGGAAAACTTAACAGTCTGAACACAAGTGAAAAAGGCCATATACCCGGCTCACACTGGGAAACTTCTATAAGACTTGATTACACTGTACATCCCGGGCTACGCTTGCAATGTTCCACTTTCACTTTAAGTGAAATAAGAGACCATTTCGTGGCACAGACTGTTAGCGAGGTGTGACCAGCCTTATTGAAGAATTTTTTGTTTTACAGGCAAACTTCAAGTTTATCTGGACAAATTAAAAGATGGGTTGCAGTCGCTGGTAGAGGCAGAAGCCATTCTTAAAACTACTCACGGTAATCATGCGCTGGTTCAAGAACTCCAAGAAATGATAACTGGAACATTAGAAGAACTAGGCAGAGAGGAACATAATAACAGATTTCAGGGATTGGAGTTAATCTGAGAACATCATAATTATTGCCTGGTGTTTAATATCGTTTTGGGACAAGTTAACAAAAAATATTAAATGAATTCTAGTATTAAACTTCAAGGCAGTGTGTAACTTAAAATTGAAATTAAAATTTTTATGTATAAAGCCTTCAGGCCAACAATGTGCCAGTTAATGCCACTTAGAAGCTATTCTCATAACACTGTGCACTGAGTTGTGCTCCGGTCTTAATTCACGAATTCTTCTTTTATCTCCGTATGAGGGCATGTGCTAAAACCCAGACGATGGATTCTGGACGATAGACGGTGGACGCTGGACAATAGACGATGGGCAATACCATTTTTACAAACATTTTTACGAGAGTCATAGTTACTACAAACTATGCGAGACTTGTTACACGCGTTAAATTAATTGTTAATTCAAATTTGTCACCCAATAGCGGGCAAAATCGAATAGATATTTTTATCGGTATTGACGTGTTGCCAACTAATTTTTGCGCATTAAAAAAATGCCGTGTATAAAATAGAATCCGTGGAAGAAAAAAGCACAACATTTAATAGAATTTAGATCCACACATTTGTTAAGGTGTTTCGATATAGTTTTTCAGAGGCCATACCGATATTTTTCAATCGCTTTGAAAGTGATTTTATCCTTGTCTGATCGCTATAAAATTTTCACCAATGATCGACCATAGATTGAAATTTGTCAAAATGTAGGTTTTAGTAAAATCGATATTACTGTGACAACAATAAACAAAAAATTTTGAAATTGATAAACGCCTAATTCTGCGCGATCTAGACCAGCTACTGAAAATCCAACACTAGGTACTTAAAGTTTGGTTTTGAGCGAATAACCTCCGTAAGAAGTAAAAAATTCTGTTTGTTTGAATTCGACTAAAACGAAAATATGTTTCAAACCTTAAATTTTCAATAGCCGTGATAGATTGTTAAATAAAAAGGTCACCAATGACTCAAATTATTCTTAAGTAGCGTCAGAATGCTGCTTAGTATCATATTTCGATGCTAGGACATTTTGGTGTGGAACACACAAAATTCGGCTTTTATCAGTTTCAAAGTTTTTTGTTTGTTGTTGTCATATTAATATCGATTTTACTTAAAACTACATTTTCACAAATTTCAATCCATAGAAAATTATTGGTGAAAATTTTATAGCGATCGGACGAGGAAAAAACCACTTTTAAGGCCACTGAAAAATATCGGTATGGCCTCGGAAAAACTGTATCGAAACACCTTAAAGTGACCTTTATTGCAATTACATTTTTTAAGAAAAAAGGAACAACAAACGTGTAGTAATTAATCTACAGGCACTAGAGTATTTGCTATTTTAGGAAAATTGTCATGTCACTTGACCAAGCGAAAAACAACTTTATGATATGTTTCCAGTGAAAGCAAAAGTTAGGAGCAACAAAAACTAATTCGACTGTAACCTCAAGTTTGACCCAATTGAGCAATCAATGTACACTGTATAAGACGGGTTTGTTCAAAATCAGTAACTTCCGGTCGAAATTACGTCAGAGTGTTTTGACCACAATCCTGGTCAAAAGTGAATAGAGCACTTGACCAAATATGAACTCTTTATGCTGAAAATCCTAGAGTCCATCAGGTGTTGCCTAGGAAGAGGTGTTTAAAGTTGTCTTACGTGACTTCGAACAGTTAGAAGGGATGGCAGAAAATGTGCTTGCGTATTGTTTATACATGACATGTTTGCGTGGAAATACACATCTCCCATCTTTCCTTGCCTCCTCTCACCCGCAACTGTATACTCACGACGCATTTTAGAGACTACGACCAGATCTGCTGATGGCGAGACATGGGCTCCTTGGAAGAGTTACCTCTGCTATTCCCGGAGGAGGGTCTTTCGTGAAAAAGTCTTTGACAATTTGGTATCGCCCATCGTCCATCGTCTGGGTTTAAGCACATGCCCCTAATTATTTTGGTTTTCCTTTCGTAACTTATCATTACCCGTCATACATCGTCTGGGTTGTAGCACATGCCATAATTAGGTCGCACTGAAAACCACACTTCTAAAGTTTATATCGTGAACCAGGTTAGTGACGGATTTATAAAGTACTTGCTGATTAGAATTAAATTTCACCGAAATAAAGCGTATTCTTCCATTATAGTTCAAAGCGTGGAAAAGTTGAGGAAAAAACTGCATTGCCGTGTGGCCCCACAAACTTTTGAAATTCTTATAAACCCATTCAGTTACACTTTTACAACTTTGGTAGATAGTTTCAAAAGTGAAGTAAGTCAACGAGATGCGGTTAACGTATTCCTAACCCTTATCAAACTTTCAAGAGTGAAATGATAGCTTTAGCTTTGGAAGTATTTTCTCAATTACTCCGTCGATCTCGTAAGACGTTTTTCACTTCTGCTGAAGTTTAAAGCGGAATTTTACAAGACCTATCCTCTTTTGAAATAAACAAGATATTATTCCGTTGACTGTCCCCAAAAGTATGGCCGCAGTTAAGCCTTTACATCTAGGCCCAAAAGTTGTGTGTAAATAGTATTATAATTTCCGTGACAAGTGTGGCGGTTTCTACTCATTAACATGCGTGCCAGATTAATCAAATACGAAGTATATTAGCGGAGCTCTCGCGCGCGAAGCGCGCAGCGGAGCACCATGGGTAAAGGAATGTGGTAAACTACCCATCCGAGAAAATTTGGTAATCACGTGACCGTACACCGACCGCCCGCCCGCCCGACCGTCCGTCCGCACCACAGGCATACCAATGTAAAATAATTCAATCAACAGGTATGGCAACCCAAATGCAGCTCAAGGTTTTATTTGGAAAGACATCGCATGGCCGCTCAGACTTTTAGAAAGAAAAAACAACAACAAAGTCGTGCCTTTTTCGATGTTATTTTTTATGTTTACACTCACGTGGATAACAGAGAAAGAGCTAGAGCGAGTGACTGAAAACAAAAGAGACGAATTTTGTAGGAAGAAAAACATGAAAATTCAAAGCGGCTGTGAGACAATGAGAAATGCTAGCGGCCAGCAAGGTAAAAATGAGCGGCAGTGAAAAATAAAAGCGAACATGAACACAGGAGACAAAACATTGGGTAAGCACATACGACAATTCCTCCACAAAAATAATGTGTAACTAGGAAGTTTGACGTTTTAGTCCTACAAAACAGCGTTGTAGTTGTGCAAAACAACGGCAAAGAAAGACAAAAAGCGTGCTGCACGTGCAAATTTTTTTTTCTTTGGCTAATTCGAAAAAAAAGTGTGCTGCACGTGCAATTTGTTTTTTTGCTAATTAGATCTATTGATCTTGATGCCATTTTCATTGCCCTCCCCGTTTAGCATTACGCGATTTAATTTTTATTGTTGACAAGTATTATTAACCAGAGCTTCGCTTTTAGCCCTGGCTAAATCTATATATTCCTGTTACCTTGATTACTACATTAACGTTTGAACAAAGAAACCTGTCAACCTCGGGGCCCGAGTAGGAGAGGACCCTGAGAGCGAGGTTGGGAGACCTGTCAACCTCTTTACATCAAATTAAGTTTCTTGACTCTACACACGCAAGTTTTCCTTGTCAAATGTGTTTCTTGGTGTGACGGAAACCACTGTTTGTTCGCAAGTTTTTTACTTTAACTATTTTCTGCAAGTTTCAACTTTGTATGGGGTGGGGGGAGGGAGAACTGCGAAAAATTTCGAAAAGGATGCCCTATTTTAAGAGGGAACCGAGAAATGACAGAAAAATATGAATATTGCAGTACTGTCCCAAGGACTTTTGTCCAGGATTGCGGCTTCTACGCGCGTTGACGATGTTTTCCCGCGTTTTTCTCTTAGCAGTATGTGACCCTAGCCCTTACAACTTTGACAGTCCAGTGCGAAAGAATGCACAGCCCATTCTAACAACCTCCACTAATTCGACCAAAGCCCTGGAAAGATGTGAGGACAAACACGTTCGTTTGCTTATTGCAAGCTACATGAAGTTCAAAGACGAATCTGGAAAATCACACATTACCCAACAATCAATTCGGTCGCACTTTTGGTTCGGACGCGTTCCATTTTCCATTGGTTATTCCGAGTGGTCTTGGACCGGTTGGTCCGGTATAATGGAAGCACCCTTAGCCTTTCACGCAGGCGTTTTTAGGCGAGTCGTATTTCCTCCCTCCCCTACTAACTCCTGCGAGGGAGGCTAAGGACATCTTGGATGATGCTAGTTATAAACGGTACACTTCACTGAGGGTCTCAATGAGGTTAATCATCAGCAGTCAAACAGCCTGGAACCGTCAAAAAAGCAGATTAATATCAACTATAAAAAAGTTTCAAGGTATTTCAAATCTCGCTATTTTAGCTAATCTTCACAGACTTCGGCTCCTGAAAAATCTCCAAACTGGTCGAAAATCCAGTTCCCATGTTCTCAAAAACATTCTGTCTGAACATTACAGGACTGGCTTAGAACTTGCTATATCTGAAAATAAGGGAAACGCCAATGCAACCTCCAAAACACAACAGTTAATGTTAATTTATATTGAAGTAAATATCTACTTTAACTATTAGACTAAATTTCCACTTATAACCGTCAATCGTCAAAAGCCTCTAAAATTTAACCGTCAACCGTTTAAGCTACCACCCCACTGAGACCCCCAATTTTGTGACGGCGGCGGCTTTGAAACTATGTCCACGGTAGGTAAAAGCGCGGGGATATCGCATAGTCAAAAATCACCACTGGATCCTGGCTTATGGACTTTGGACTCTGGACTCAAGTGAGGTTTTAAATAAAAAGAGGATCTGTATGGGATTGCTGTAAACAGATCCTTATAAAGAGATCCTGAAGAAATTGCAGAAGAAATGGAGGGAGAGGGTTGCAACGTCTGTGGCGCCCCAACGGTCATTGACTTCGGGATAGGCTTATGCTTAGGCTTGTAAAGGTAGATCAGATTAGGCTGCGTTACCCGAGAAAAGAATTTTTTTAAAATAACGTGAGTTGATTATCTTTCTTTGCAGGATACAAATCCATTCGTTGCGGCTACCATCTTGGTCATTTTGGCCTCTATCGCCTCTGGCAGTTCTGGCTGTAACACTTTGGTGTCGTGGACAGATGTTAAAATCACGGATGGGAAACGATGACAGTCAACCACAAATCGCTCTACCCCCAAACGATCTTGTTCAAAAGAGAGGGCACTCAGAAACGTGAATTTTCATTGCTTAGTAAATTTTAATTTTAGTAGTCATTCCCTTTGCTCTTCATCCACGTTTACTTTCAGCGTATACGCTACATATTGCAAACGAATTACAAATTGACACCTGCGTTTTGTCTAGGTAACTTTAATGTAGAAAAAGAAAATATGTATGTTATTGCTATATCAACTATTTTCTCCCGTTAAGGAAGTATTTTCGTCTGTACACTGAAATAGTCGATATAATAAATAATTTGAAAAAAAAAAAATGCGGGGACTTTCCCTTACGTTATTCTTATCAAGCGTGGTAACGGGGCAGGTCTACTTTGGGGTGAGAGGTAGGGTGGGGGTGGGGGTAAGCGCTGGTGGTTATGGTGAAAACAAAAACTTTAAAGTGACGAAATAGTTGCTAGTTAGTATACGGAACATGCTCATTTCCGATTGTAGCGATAAACATACGACCTCTTAAATTCTGCAAAAATAATAAGCACAACAATAAAGAAAACGAAGACCTGGCCAAGGATTGTGAGCAAATGACAGAGTGCTGCGAGTTTTAGTCCGCGAAAACATCCGTTTCTCCTCGCTTTTCGCCCGAAAAGCGCGCGTAAATACTGAGCCAGTAAATTTTCCAGCGGTCAGCCAGCCACTCAAAATATGAAAGGAATGGGACCTATAGGTGTCAACCTCAACTCAGCGGAATCAGTTTTTCTCTTCGATGAACACTGAACTGATGAGTCAACTAATAACAAACATAAAGGAAATGGTCTTCTTTGCTATGAGACCTCAACATATTCTTTTTTTAAACGAACACTAGTGAGTAGCACAGAGCAACGGGATTACCTTGATAACTAGTTTTGTTTAGAAGATTTTTGTCGAACAGTTTCGTTTGATTACCCAGAATTCACTATTTTGAGGTCTGTTGATATAGTTGACACTCTACCGAAAAGCAAACAAACTTCGCCTGATAACCCTAGCTAAGGCGCCAGCTTTAGTTAGCTTTTCAATATTGCATAAGAATCTCATTGATTACAATAGAATAAAACTAAAAAATAAAAAATGTGCAAGACATGAAACCGGAATTAAGGAAATAAAAAACAAAAACCATTTAATTTCTCCTCCAAAAAAAGACTTAGAAAAGGATTTTTACCTTGAGGGTCAGAGGGTGGTGGGTATTTGTTTGTTTGTTCTTATTTTTTTAAAATATTGTCCGGAGTCCAGGGACCAGGGTCCATTCGTTGCCTCTTAGACTTTCAAAAAAGTCCTTCGTCCGATTTACGAAAGCTACCTCTCGCAACTTCGTCGCTCGGTCGGCAGCTTCGCGGCCTAGAAAGCTCGCTCCGCTAGCTAAGAAACTCTTCAGGTCGACTTGTTGCAAGTTTACTTGCTTCCATCTCCGCCACATGTAGGACGGAGGTGGGAGAGGCGGTGCGTGGATATTTTTGGGTTAGGTGTTGTTTGTTGTTGTTGTTTTTAAAACATTGTCCGTACTCCAGAGTCCAGGGTCCAGTCTAGATTTCATCCTGCGGCAGTGCGTTATTGTTTTACATTTATTTCTTCCATAGCATAAGTCGCTCTTTAGCGGGTTGTGTGTTCTACCAAAAATTGTGTCAACTTAAGAGCTTTTTCTGTTGCGACCGGCCTTCGTGCAGTGGACCAAAATGATAAAAGATGCCGTGTAAGGCAGGCAGATATTTCTAAATCACCCAAACAAAAACAAAAATCCGTTAAAAATGTCCACTGTGTATCTATTTAAGGAGATTTCATCACACGGCGCGTTATTCAATGCCTTGTCTTGTCTTGTCTTCTGCAAAAGGTAGATGTTAGTGCGGGTTTTCGTTTAGATTAGCTATCATCCTTCAGTTACTCGGATTTATTTGTGTATTACTTGTATGTAGTCGTATGTAACCCTTATGAATCCCCATGTATCCGTATCAACCCGTAGGCACTCGTATGTACCCACATGCATCCGTGTGTTACTCGTATGTACTCGTGTGGTGTTTTAGTCAAGATCTTCTCGCTAAAACTCGAAGTCAAGTAAAATGATGACGGCTACCACATTTTCCCGCCAAAATGACGTTGATTCTAGCGCCAACACTATTAAGTCTATTGAGAAAATCTCGTTTTCTTAGTCGTCCTCGTAATCTAAAGCTCTCTAATGACGCAAATGTTTGAACACTTACCGTTTTTCCTCGAATTCCAAGTGATTTCACAGAGGAAACTTGTTCAATCGGAACATTATCAATAAGAAGTTCGAGTGTATCAGATAGAGTACTTAATCTTTGCCTGGAGCCGATCAACGTAAATTCAGTTTTTGTAGCGTTAAAGGTAAGTCTGTTAGACAGAAGCCATTTGCTTAGCTTTTCAAGGTCGTGAGATGTAATGTCGGTGTCATCAGCATACATTCTAGGTATGCTGAACTAAAGACAGTTAGACAAATCGTTAATATAAATTAGAAATAACAGAGGACCAAGGATCATTCCCTGTGGCACACCACATTCAAGAGACAGTGGTGAAGTCAGAGAGACAACCGTTAACTGAGCACAGTTGTCTGCAATTCGTCTAATACGATTTAAACAGTAAAGCCGTTATGTTATTGGCTATGAAGACTCGTAATGTAATCGGTGCGTTTCGATCCGTCTATTGTCACCGTCCAACAGTCGTCTATTGTCAGTTGTCCAGTCGTTCTCTCGTAGTTAGGTTTGCTTGATTTCGTCACTGATAAGTCGTTTGTACGGTGCCGGTAACTGTTGACTACGATTCAGTGTTGTTTGTTCTAAGTTAGTAAACCAGCTCTCTAAAGTGAGTCGTTGATAGTATTCTGTAGAATACGTAATACATGTGGCAGAGCGCTAGTCGATTTGATGTTATGTCTGTAAATGGTGTTCAGAAATGTGATTGTTGACGTCACCATTTCTCGTCGCTCGTTTGTGTTCGGTCAGTCGCGTGCTAAGGTTTCTGCCGGTTTCACCAATGTAAGTAAGCCTGGCAGTCGCAGCATTTGATCTTGTATACTGCTACCTGTCTGTCCTCCGGTTTGTCTTTGTCCTTGACATTAGTAAGTAGTCGTCGTGAAGTGGTTATCGGTTTGTGTGCAACACGTATATTGTAAGGTTTTAGTATACGTATAGTCGCTGTCGTAACAGGGCCAGAGATGACGTTGGTCTCAGTGTTGGAATTAGTGTTACTGTGAGTGTTCCGTATAACAAAGGCCGTGTTGTAGTTGTTTGTACTAAAAACGTTGTTTAGGTAGCCAGTCTCGACTTGTAGGCTGTCAGGTGAGTCGTAAACTAGTTGCGCTCGTCTCGTCAAAGTCCGTATGGCTGTAGCCTTGTGAGAGGTCGGGTTGTACGATGATTGGTCTAGTAATCGGTCGGTAGGTGTCGGTTTTCTGTAAATAGGCGTTCGTTGTCTGATGTTGTCGCGAGTGACCAAACAGTCTAGGAAAGGTATCTTACCATTTTCTTCGATCTCCTTGGTGAACTGTATGTCCGCGTTCTGTCTGTTAAGGTGTTCGTGAAAATCGTCGATTCCCTCTTTGTGTACGGCAGTAAATGTGTCGTCAACGTAACGTAACCAAAGAGGTACAGTTCGCGTGTAGGTAGCTAGGACTTGTTCCTCGATGTTTTGCATAACAATTTCTGCTTCAACAACAGAAACTGAAGAGCCCATAGCGGTACCGTGTAACTGTAGTGTCTGCCGTTGTACTAAAAAGTACGTCGAAGTCAAACAGAGGTTTAGTAGGTCCATAATGTCTTCTGTAGGTAGTGGTAGTTCAACAGTAGAGTTCTTAATAGCGTTCTCAGTACAGTGTAGAGCCAGTTGAAGGGGAATACTGGTGAACAGAGATTTCACGTCAAAAGACATTAGTTTGTGGTCGTCAGGTTTGTGGTTGCAGGCTCCACTCAAAGAAGAAGGTCTTTTCATATTGGTTATCCAGTGGTGCGGACGGTCACGCGTACAGTCACGTGACCACCAAAATTTCTCAGATGAATGAAAAACTAAATTTACGTACCCATGGTGCTCCCCTGGGTGCGCAACGCGCGTGAGAGAGCTTCGCTATAAAGTAAAATTCTGTGCAGTATCAATTGTATCATGGAAAAAAACCGCGTCCATTTGTCTAGTTTTGGGTTGTGCGCAGATATTGCCATAGACCCCTAAATAGCCGTATTCGTCAGCGTTGTATCGTGAAAAGCGAGCACGGTGACCGCTACCTTCAGGGCAGGGTACACCTGTAACCGATGCAGTAGCTTGCTACGACTGCAAACCAACTGCATAAATTCTTCAGCTATGTTAAAAACTTTCTTTACAACGAGGTATAAACAACAAAAAAATATTACACCATTTTTTCAATAACTGTTACTTTATTTACAAGGATTTTTGCATTGTGAATTTATTCGATATTTAGCTCTTATTACCACAAAATAAATGGAAATATAAAAATCACTTTTTTCTATAAATAAAATGGCTGATTTTCAGCACAATAAGCGGGTTTTCTTCCCAGATATCAAACAATTTTATATTTTCAGGCAGCCATAGACCGAGTAATTTTTACTTCGCGCACATATCTGGCTGGAAAATTTTTTCACCCCAGGCGGCCTGTTTCTGCCGTGAATAGTAGCATTGCCATTGGGTTGAGACCTTCAGTTCCTAAAAACCTGAGAAGACGAAGTCACGCTGATCGTTCAATGAGACTACAATCTGCCTGATTGTGACAACAGGAGCCACATATGAGACCACAAACAACGTGTTTTACTGAACAGCGAATGAAAATTGTGAGGCATTTCCAGACGCTGACTCCGCCGCCAATGTGACATGGCTATCCTTCCTGAGCACTCCTGCTAGTGGCGGAAGTGTACCCTGTCTGACTGTCATCCACAAGGGATCCGCTGATGACCGGCTTGTCTTGTGTCCCATGCGAGAAGTCACTGGCATGTTCTTTGGGAGTTCATATTCTTTTGTATCCTACCATACAATGAATAGTAAAGATCACTGATTAAAGTTTCTCTGTCATGTGTGACCAATAACCTTGACAAACTGAGCGGAATTATCCAATTTCTGAGCTTAATTATAAACATCTGAAAAATAAAATGTTATTTTCTGTCTACGATGATAATATTTTCCTCTTTTTCGTGAATTTAGCGTGTTTTCCATAGAGAACTTCAAGATTATTTCAAATCTTGGACCGTTACAAATGTCACGCATGACGAAACAAGTCAGCAAAGCTGGTAAAGTTGACCCGGGTGATAGGGTAACCCTACCTGTGAAATTTGCTTGTAAACCAGAACGACTAAGTTTAACCCGCTTGCTAGGGTAACCCTAGCACAAGGGTAACCCTCTCTCCTTGTAAACACGCCCTTAGAATTTTTCCATCCCTAGACATAATCAGCTGGTTTTTAAACGTAAAACGCCTTTGAAGGCGACTTTTTGTAAAATACTGCAATCCATATCTCGACTCCTCGCTACTAGAGTTCTTGCCAGAGACTGCGAAGTTTGGAGTATAAACAACATACCACGGGCTATACCACGCTACACGCGCGATTTACCGGCAACGTTCTTCCTTTGTCATGTTAATTTCTCCAGTAACATGACAAAACAAACAAACTGCCCCATTGCTTATAGTCGTGATACTTGTAGCTCATATACACGACCTAAAGAACTGTCAGAAATCGACAGCGAGTGTTGATGCAAGTGTTGATCCTTTCGTAGCGAACATGAGCGTGACAACCTCGTTCCCAAAGTTCTCTCACGAGGATGCGTGAGTGAATGCACAGCTCAGGAGCTCTTCTGCAACTACGAACTATGTCGTTTTCATATCGGGCAGTGAGTTCGGGACGGAGCGGAAGAGCCGATCTTTGTCAACGCAAAGTGAGCGAGTGACACATTTGCACATTGAACCCCATCAAAAAAACATTGGATACCCTTCGGGTATCTACGGGTTAAAAAAGCGTTGACATATTTGTTCAGGAATTCTTACCGGTATCTGAAGCGCTTGAAAGGGAGAGCAAGTGCTTCCAAACCCTCCTCCACATGTTAACTTCGGATCCACGTTGCCAACGTGGTCCCTTCGTGTCTGCCTCGTCTCCATGCGGCGCCTGAAGTCTTTATTGTAATGATCTCCAAGAATAGACTGGGGAAAAAATGTCAGTGTCAAGTGGTTTCTCCGGGGGCAAACAAGAGCAAAAAATTGACATTGCACGAAATCGCGGTCGACTTTGTTCATTACAGACAACAGAAAATGCAGAACTTTTCCTTCTTAAAGACGATAATGGAAAATTATGGGTGATCATTTGAGCAAAATATCGTGATTTGTCGGTGGCGAGCAGATCAATAATTGATCACTTGGTATTTCAGGATGTAAACAAGTGATATATTCTCATTCGATGCAAATTGTTCTTCCTTTTCACTGGCCGACAGCGCATCACGTGACCTGTAAATAACTACATACAAATAATGGTCTCCTCGTGTGCAATGTCGTCCAACTATAATATTCTGGGCGTGCGTAAATGAAACCACGCTTTTCTCCCTCTTGCTATCGCTCTTGCGTGAAAATGGCAAAATGCTAGATACTCATTAAAAAATAAATTAGGTGACCGAATGATAAAACAATTATTGAACTCGGTTATCGTAAAATATCGTGATTTGTCAGTGTCTCGCAGATCAATAGGCCATTTCCGAGTTTCCCCGGGCCTCTGTATCAAAACGAGGTTAAGTGCTCAGCCTTTGATATGGAAATGAGTATTCATTCTCACGCAAATAAAACTCATTTTTACCAGAAAGGTTGTGCCCTTGGCCTCATTTTGAAAGTAAGGATTTTTGGAAGTCGGAAGTGGCCTACTATCTGCCGAAGCCAAATAACTGATTTGCTCGCCACCGACAAATCACGAAAGTTTGCTCAACCTCGTCAAAGAATTGTTAATTGCTTTTATCCCACCGATCCTAAAGGGCGTGCAAAGATGGCGGGCATCTTGAATAAGGTCTATTACACAACTAAGTAATTTAATATATGTCTTTAATCATAGTTATTGATAATTATCATACACTAAATTTTATTCTATTAAACAGTTACTAAGATCTTTTTCCTGATAATTATTTTAATTTTATACGGAAGATGTTACTTTGCCCGAAAACCATGACATCGAGCAGGGGGTTCATTAAGGTTTTGAACAGGAGGGCAACTGAGTTTGACACCCGGGCAAAGAATTGGCAAGGCCCGGAGGGCCTTAGGGGGGTCTGGGGGGATGCTTCCCCGGAAAATTTTGAAATTCTATAGTCGTAAGGATGTGTTTTCCTGCATTTTGAAGCTGCAGACAATGACTTTCAACAACCAAAAAAAGATAACTTTTCTAGACAATTTAATCATGATTTGATACCAATACCCACCACACAAATTGGACTTTTTGGTTCTCTTTTAATAGCTCTGCTCATAATAATCTTTACTCAAACTCACCGTCAGCATCTGAGCCGTAATCAACTTATCTTTAAAATTTCAATGACTAGACGGGAGGAGCACTGTTTTAACGTGAACGCACCGAAAATTAATTCATTGGCGTAAACCATAAGACGAACAAAAATCACGCTTCGCTTCGTTGAACATGATGATTAAGCCATTCAATATATACAGGCAAGTAAAAGGTTAAATCACAAAGAAGTCTACTCATCTCTTGGTCTTTTCTCTACTGGAGGCTCTTTGGTTGAAGCCGAAAAATAATACGCTATCGAACGCGTTCTTTTCTGGGCCGCCATGCTCACATGCTCGCAACACTGCTACATTTCAGGTGGTCGTTTATGAAGCACAGTTCTTTTCGCAATGTATTATGGGGCGATTCTTGTTTTTAACACACAAAGAACGAGGGGATTTCATGCCGCGTGTAATAAAGTGGAAATTACACCGCAAAGTATGTTTTACACTCGATAAGACTCATCAAGAAATGGGCACGATTGTAACTTAAAACTGTTTTTGATCGTTCCCTGTAGTAAAAAGAAGTTCTTTGAGATGTAAAGCAGCCGGGCAAAGTCGTGTTCACAGCCGGTCAATTTGCCCGGTGCCCGGCCCTTAATGAACCCCCTGATCGAGTCTGTTTATAAACTCCAATTCATTCTAAACCGCTAGCTACTCTAACTATCAAATGCGTTATTTTTGTAAAAAAGACAAGCGCTTGACCAAAATGTTCATAAAGGTCGTAACAAACATCTGAAACTTTTACGTTTCCGGTGTTTGTTCTGCCTGTTACAACGGAAACTTCGAAAAGGGGAATCAACGTCTCACACCTGTTCATAACTCGTTATGTTAACTGCTGATTTTTATTGCCATAAGCTATAAATGATGATGTAAAAAAACTTTCTTACCCATGACTGAGGACTTTTCGAAGATCTTTCCAGTACCAAGCTTGTCATGGAGCGGTAATAGTCAGTCATTCTCCATGAATATGGATCTTCGGCTTCGCTTTCATCATCACCTACTTTTCCTACATCAATTGTGGGAAGGAAATTGACGCGTTCTGCAACGGGGGTTGTCGGTGTGCTAAAAGGGACAAAACGTAGGCAGAAAACATCGATGTGCGATTATTGTTTTCTGTATGAAACACGCAAGACCTATCTACAGGACAAAATCAGTTATGCAAGAAATGAACAAATTTCATGTCAATTGTGTTGAAAATCTTAATTATGAAGTCGTCGTTGGATGTCCGAAAGAAGTAATTGTTAGCCGTAAATTGGCAAAAAATGTAGTCCTTGCCCTTTGTTGTACGAAACCAAATTTTGATCATACCTGCTGGAAGCATACTTGCTTTTGTTTCCAAGATATTGAAATATAAATACCAAAGATCTTATGGTATTTATATTTGAAGGCAGTTTCTGAAATGGCTCAAATAGAAATTGAGAAATGAAACAAGAATTAACAATCAATCCAACCTTTTACTTGGCGGCGGCGGTTCACGTGTTGATGGACTAGTGCTTAGCTGCTGCTGTGGACTCAGAGCTGGAGCAGGGGAAGGTGGTTTAGAACTTGTATAACTTAAATCAGTGTGAACGTGAGTTTTTTTCTTTCCTCTGTCCCTCTCCTCGTCCCAAGTTTTCCTGAAAAACAACAACAAATGGAAACAAAACAAATTTTAAAACGAAAGGAGGGCGGCACCGACAATAAAAGTGACATTCATTAATACAGTTCCTTACCCTGCATGTCTGTACGAGCTGGGATCGTCAATGTTCCACAGCCTCTTCTGTAAGACAAAATAAAAAATACGTAAATAAACAAATATTAACCCTCGGCCAAGAAACAAGAAAAAACGCATATCACATACGAACGTTGGGAATGAAAACCCTGAAAACTCGATGAAAATACGAAACATTCTTCGCCGCAATTCATTGCACATGCGCCAGCGTATCGGCCCGCCAGCCACCCCAACCAGCCACCAAGCGAGATGTCGTCTCCCCTCTCACAAAAGGACTGGAATAATCTGTACATAGCAGCTAACCTGACCGAACATTCCAATGTACTGGCCATCCAGTGTCCAGAGCCTGGCCGTGCAGTCCTTAGAAGCAGATAATAATAAAGCACCTTGACTCCGCGACAGATATTCCACACTAACCACTGAGTCTTGGTGCCCATGCCAGCTAGTGAGCTGAGGAGGTTTGCCTTCTGGGTTATCATCCGGGTTACCTGCAGCACGCTGAGTTGTTGACCACACCTAAACAACATACAGAAAATATCGAAGCTGCTCTTATGGCTCCCCCTACATATATTATTAAGGTATATGTACAAATATTTAAAATAAAATAACCATAATTCAGACCTAAATAGTACATTTACCTGTAAAATACTCAAGGAATAAAAAAACGATGGATTGAGTCGTATTATACATCGAATGTAAGAAAACGTTCGAATGCGGCGTATTTAAAATATTTTCTCAATGCACAGTTCTTTTGAATCAATTACCTTGTTAAACTGGTTAAAATAAAGCACTAATAATACATATTAGTATATAAACACTCAGTGATCTTGGCAATTCAAGCAATCTGATCGGTTCGCTATCTCGGACTATGACGTTTAATTAAGCAATAGACCACACTTTCTATGGGTTTACCGGCGTGATAACCAACGCGGGATTTACAAGCTTTCCGAGTGTTCTCCCACCATCCTAAGTGGGTTATCACGGCGGTAAACCCATAGAAAGAATGGTCTATTGCTTTTATAAATTAACTTAGTTTTCTATGAGTTTACCGGCACAATAAACCATAGGTTTTTAACCAATCAGAACGCGCGTACTATCTTAGTTATTTTATAAATATTCACCGCGTGAATATAAAGCAAAAGTAAATCGCTGTCGTGAACTGGGTGTTCTGCCACTTTTCAAAGTAAGAATTTTAAAATACAAGAATATCCCAGAGTTGATGATTTTGAAGGTAAGAAAAGACTTCATGGTGTTTAAACAGCGTGATTTTATTGCGAAGTGATTTACTGTAGTTGACTTTCATACGCTCGAAGCAATATGTTTATTGACCACTACAAAGGAAAAGGAGGCCGCTTTGTCACTGTTTTGTGAACTCAGGACTTCCTCGCAAAACCAATTTTGCCTGGAAATAGAAGTTAATTTATGGAGAAAAAAGGAAAGCAAAGTTAATATGGCACTGTAGATAAACAACGCGCACCTCGATCGTAGCCGCTGTTGACAGCATTTGCAAAGAAGCGACAAAAACTGTCTCATTCACGGTGAGTTGACAGAAGCAAATAAAGCTCTGTGTTTCTTCTCAGAAAGGGGAGTTATTTAAACTTTCAACGTTTTTTTTTCAATCACTGATGCTAAAGCTTACAAAAAAATTACAACTATAATTTGCCATGTTTGAAAACACTGTAAAGATTCAACTGTTGTGCATCTGCTGTTTACGACTACATGTTCACGCATGAAATCACCCGTGAATCATACTGATCGTTTTCCTCATGGTTTCCTTTCTGATTCTGTTGACTTCACTTCTTGTGTATATACTAAAAGAAGTGTTCACTTCAGGCTCAGTTATTATTTAACAATTAATGAATGAGGCTGAGTATCTTATGAATAATTATGGGGATCGAGGAGGGTGTTATCCCTACTCGATCTCCATAATTATTCATATGATACGAAAGCCGAATTAAATAACCAAGACCACTGATGGTCTTGAAAATAATTGATTGAGGCGAAGAAATGATTAATATACCTTCAGCTATGGAATTTTTGTCGGTCTTGAGATTGCTATCGACTTTGCATGCAAGACATAGATTGCTTTAATTTCTTGTCGTTAGGAAGCAATCTCTTCACAGCTCTCCAGAAACGATTAAGACTTCCCTCTCTTACCATGCATAACCAAACAATTTCCAACCTTTAATATGGGATAGCTGAAACACTGATGTCGACATAGTGATACCAGTCAAAAAAAGCTTCAACTTACTTGAGCAATGATAGATTCCGCTCTTGAGATGCAATATGAACTGATGTCCCACACAGTTATGTGCCCACTTGAGTCGCCAGTAATCAACATCTCGTTAGAAGGATCTGTTGCTAAAGCAAGAACGTTGCTATCTTCATCAGTGGCGGCCGTGAATCTACCTGCAAAAAGCATCACAATGCAGTGTATTTGGGCCCACTGAAAACAGCGTACAACTACTTTTCAGTTTACTAATTTCTTTCCCCGCAGTACCGTAAATTACGAACCTAGGAACTATTGACATTTAAAGTGCACAGTTTTCTTTTCATTTGAGCTAACATATCTGGCCCCAGTTGTTCAAAATCTCTCTACAGTTAATAACACAATTAATTTCTCTTCTATTCATCCGGTTGAGAGTTATACAGCTGTTTCAAAAAATGGGGCCACTTTGCGTATGTCCCTGCGAACAGTGTGAAACGTTATGTGAGAGATTCCTTAACTCTGGACTGAAACTTTGAAGCCACAGGTGGTTGCCGGGAGGGCTTTCAAACTGTAGGGAGCTTAACCAAATACGACAGCGAAGGGAACGACAACGGCAAAAATCAAAATGTTTAGAATAGCAAAATAACAACTTTGCAGGCTTTTTAAATATCTTTGACCATTATTACGCTATTACGGCATGCTAATTAGCTGAAGAAGATTGCTCTTCAAAAACTGGAACAAGCGAAGGTGTCCTTCTGCTGAAACTTATTCACTTCTCTCTTTTTTTTTGAGATAACTATGGTTTGTATAAATGATGAATAAAAAATCAGTGGCTATTTTTTTCTCCCAAAACACGGATTTGAAACTACCCTCATTACCTTGGGGTCTCGGCTTGAGACTTTTTGGTTTTCTTCCGACAACGTTTTTTGAAATGACTGTATATCCTGTGAATAATTCTATCTAACGTTTGAACAACCGGGGCCAGAAGGATAAACGCTGACCACAACAGGTAACGTGTACAAGACCTACTTACCCATGGGTCTGTTCGGACCGTACAAACACCAGAACTCGAGCATTCCAGCCTCCGATGACACAAGAATAGCACTCTCTTGAGACTTCCACTGAGCCCTTGATGTAAGAAATAACAACTTGTCTACCGGTGAGCCATAGTTACTGCCTCTGTAGAAATTACATATGTTGAAGTAAGCTTACCAGCTTGTTGAGAAAGGAAAAAAAATTGAAAATATGTGAAGGAAAATCACTAGTTACCAGTAAGAAAAAATGATATCTTACAGGTTTTTCCTGTTTTGTAGAAGTCCGAGCTTCTTTACCTTAGCTTTTCTGTCGAAAAAAAAAAAGAGGAAATTCGCTTAGAACCCAACGAACAGCAAAACAAGTATCCATCAACAGATAAAAACCGAAAAATAATTGGGCATTTTCTTTACCGTGCCAACGTAGAAGTCCGCACTAAGCTTTAAGCTCCAGGGCAAACTAGTTTCGCAAATATGGGTATCATTACCGTTCGTTCCCATGGCCGAGGTGCAAATTCTTCGCAAAACCGCTGCCCGAGCTCATTTCGTAGTCATAAACAAAGGTGTTCGACAGTTCTACTTGAGCTCTGATACAAGCTAGTTTATAACCCCAATACTTGTTTTTTGAATTAGACGCAACGCACAACAGTAAAAGCCGACGAGGATGCACTGCAATACATAAAAATGTGTGTAGCAGGAGTTTAAGCCGAAACTGCTGAACGATATTTCAGAAATGTCGAGGAACTAGTCATTTGACTTCAAAGCAAGGTTTGGAGCACTGAATTTAATGAGCTTCTAAAACTAAAGAGTACCTCTTAAAGAATAGCACGATTGGCAATCGGCTTCGTTTTAAGAATCAGCAAACATTAGAGTTACTTGTCGCGAAAATTCGAATTGGTGGCTCGTCCTTACCCAGTGCAATTCGTTTTCGAAATTCCAAAACAATTTCACAGCTGATTTCTAAGGACTTTCCAGTTGCAGAGATCTGTTCCAACCATTTCTCTGAATTATTTATATGGCATATTGATCATATCAATAAAAACCGCTACCAAAATTTCATTGGAAAATATAAGAAAAATTTTTTACCACGCACGAATTTCTATAATTTCGTAAAAAAAAATGTTTACCACACCAGTAAAATCGGATTATTTAACATTAATGTTGAACGACACCTGTAGTTCTTTCCAAGGTTTCGTAGGCATCGGGTTAAAACAAAAAAAAGTTATGACGAAAAGTTCATCATACATGTAGCTCAATGCGCCTTTATTAATAACGGAGCCACCCTAACAAAGAGAAAAGAAAATAAACGTCAAAATAAAAGCAGCTCATTTCCACTTACAACAAGCTGCCCGAGCCTTTCTTCAGCCTACGAATCATTTTTTCCCGGTCCAAACTCCAAAGAATGATGTCGCCGTCAAAACTGGCCGTGGCAAGGTAGTTTGGTGGACAGAAAGCAGCCGTTAAAATGTCATCCTGTTGACAGAACAGCAAAAAAATGCAAACAAGCCACACAAATAAGCGCGTTCTGTAAAATACTTACTTGTAGAACATGACACTGGCACGGGTAGATTTGAAGTACATTTTCCGACAAGTTAAGTGAACACCATATCACTGACGAGAAGTTGATAAAATGTTTTTCAGCTGCAACTGAGTTTCCATCTTACAAATATGTTGTGGGTAAAATCCCGCGTTCTCAGGTTAATCTAGTATTCAACCTACAGGGTAAGCTTATTGCTTGGGTTCTCACCGTTGTGACAAAGATTGAAAGCTCATATAACCTGGGAAGGATTTTCCCATCAAAATACACACTCTGACCTGATGTAACTGTCCGCCCTTCCAGTGAACATTGGGCCTGAGGCAGAAAGTCTAAAAACGCAAAGAAAGGCGGTTATAATACTGGACCTTCTTTACTAAACCTGAACACTGAGCTCACAAGACTCGCATCCTCAAAACAAATAACAAGAAGTTATCGGATGAGGTTTTTGTGATTTCCGCAATAATCAAGTAAGTAGTATCAGCCGAGCCGACGACCGAGGCTGATATTCCGGATATCACAAAAACCGAATCCAATAATTGTTTTAAGAAAATAAAGACAAACACACCGTCGCACCAAACGCAGTTTGACAATGCCAGGAAATCATACATTGCGAGCTCAACCTACAGATTAGTCAGTTAACTTCTAGCAGATAACTGACTAATCTGTAGGTTACGCTGATTTTCAAAACTCGCTGTAGGATCTGAGAAGACAAATAATGAGTACAATTGCACGGGTTCAGTATGCAGTTTGGAGGCAGCGGGGCCGCCGAGTGGTAAGCACCGGTTGGGTTCGTAATCTACCGGTTTTGAGTCTGACTTGAAAAAACGCTGTGCTAACCTGGTTGTCGTCGTAGTAGACAAGAATCTTACGGTTCCATCCCACTGTTATAATCTTACTCTTGTCAGGGAGCGAAATAATTCCTGTTACCTCGTTTTCGTCAACAGGTTCAAGTTTGTTGAGCAAGTGACCATTGCTTGCATTCCAAACCTGCGCACAACATAAAGCAACACACGAAAAGTGAAAAGGAAATAAGAGAGCATCAGATTCTCATTGTAACACATTAGTTTACAGGTAGACTCAGTTTTAGTGTGACTACTCACTGTTCCGATGCTGCATACATATGCCGCGGCGTTATGAACCAAGAGTGAGCGGGTCAAGATGCCTGGATACTGGCCAAATCCTTCTTTGGGTTTTTACGGACCGAAATAAAGTCATCATGACCGAACAAGCTTGATCAATAAAGCTTTAATTATATGGCCAAAGAGAGAACTTTTTCTGGCGAGACCCACGCCGGCGATGCACCCATCTTGCCCGCTCGGCTAGCGAAACAAAACACAACTCGCGGATTCAGAAATATAATAAAGTTTAATACTTTGATCTCATGTGGATGTCCTAACAGTGAAGCCAGCAATCTAATAAAGTTTAGTACACTGATCTTATGTGAATGTCCTAACAGTGAAGCCAGCAATCTAATAAAGCTTAGTACGCTGATCTTATGTGAATGTCCTAACAGTGAAGCCAGCAATCTAATAAAGTTTAGTACGTTGATCTTACATGTATGTGAGTGTCCTAACGGTGAAACCAGCAATCTAATAAAGTTTAGTAAATTGATCTTAAGTGAATGTCCTAACAGTGAAGCCAATTGTAAGCGTTAGTGACTCACGTGAATATTGCCGGTCCTGTCTCCGGTCATGAGGCGGCGGCCTGTAGGGTCCATTGACATGCAAGAGATTTCCTCTGTCCCATGAGCCTCTGTGACATGCTGTGCCTGACGCCCCGTTTTCAAGTCCCAGAAGGTGACGACTGAGCCCTCGCATCCAGTGATCACCTGAAATGAGTACAAAACGGATTAATTACACTACATTTCAATATATAAAAGTATAACATAAAAGCAGCTAAGAGAAGGACATTCAGTCTCAAATTATGCGTGGAATAGCCTTCCGTTCCTTATCATATAAATAAGAAACCTCAGTAGCACCAGCAGGGTTATCATGATTAGACGAATCGAACCGATGTCGTGCGTTCTCTATAAGAGCTTGTCCAAAGAATTCAGATTACTTACAAGCAGCTGAGCCTGCAAGCAAGACGCGGTCTCAGAGATAGGTCACATTAAACCCCTCCTAGTGATCCCAAGAGATAGTCATCACCTGTTCCATGCTTGGGTTAAAAAGCGCCGCACACAAAGGTTTCCAGTGAGTTGTCTTGGTGCGGGTTTTATTTGCTGCATTCATAGCTACGATCTTGATCTCTGCTAAGCAGTCATTACTGCTAATAAACAGCGAGTTGATGATGGGCGACGTCAAAAGAAGAAATGGAAATGGCCCATGTTCTGGAATTCTGTGTCCAAACGGAAACCTTATGGCGATTGTCTGAAGACACACTTGTTCCTTGATATCCCACGCCTTCAAAACCTAGAGTGGTAAGAGCAAAAAAAAAAATGTTACGTCATCTCAGCAGCAACTTATTTCTAGCTCTTATTTAATCCTATGCTGACCGGCGTCCCCGGTGGTAACCTCTTCTTTAGGATCTATGTACTCATCCTCCACCACATGCCGGACGGGAGATACCTAAAAGCAACTACTGGTTCAACCTGGGGACCCCACCCCAGAAGGAAACAATGTAGGGTAAGGTAAAGGCGCACACGAACCAAAGGCCCAAACGGCCAGAGCTTATACCGGTTTCCGTAGCATGAAGCACCTAGGAGTATTGCTACTACCCCCTGGATGGGATGCTAGTCCATCGCATGGTTACCCCGGCCCATTTATACACCTGGGTGAAGAGAGGCAAAGTGAAGTAGAGTTCCTTGTCTAAGGAAACAACGCGACGGGCGAGGTGTGAGCCCCGGACCTTCAGATCCGGAGTTCGAGGTTTTAACCACTCGTCCACACACGCCTCCTTAAACAATGTGGGGCAGGGATATTGATACTGTGCGGAATCTGCAAAACCCAACTTCATGCACTGAAGAAGTTAAGCATTGACTAAAAGAAAAGTTTTGCTGTTAGCTCGAAAAATTTTGGCTAATTTTCCAGTTTTTATACATATGCACTGATGAGCATTTGCAACACTTACGGCAAGTACCCTTGTATATATAATGTTTACGTTGTAGGTACATTTAACATCCGTAATATCCATTAAAACAGACTTTCGTTTGTCACCAATGAATAATTGAGTATTGGTTTAACCTAACAACAGATAACATGTTTATGCTTACTGTGGCATGCTTTGTAACGATTTTGTGAACGATTAATTACTTGGATCGAGGAAATATTTCATGCCCGAATTATCGGGCTCTGCTTACCCCATCCTTATCGTAACTAAAGACTTGTTCCAGAGCTTCATGAATTGCCAGGTCAATAATAAAAGACTGATGCCCTTTCATGATGGCCACAGGTTTAGCAGTGACATAAGGATTCCATAGACGAACTGCATGGTCCACTCCTCCCGTGCATATAACATTTAGTTCGTGACTGTAATCAAAACACTCTACACCCTGTAAAACGAAAGTAAAATTCTTCTTTTGAGTGATTCGTAAATGCGAACGTTATTTTTTACTTTTTCATAAATCTACTGCAGCTGATTAATTTACTATGTCTGTTGTGATTGGTTTATATTTTACGACACTTACTAACAAGCCAGGGTAAAAACGCGGTCACTAGGGCTGGTAAAGCCTAGAGACTAAAAACCATATAATGTTCGGCATTTTTAATCATCTCAAAGACATTTCTTGCTTATCTTAAAAATACGGATGGAAGCCTGGATGGAGCGCCTATTAAGAAACTGTCGCACCAACTCCTCTAATGGTAAAACGAAACACAAAAATTTGGTTTTCTCAACTCAGGAATAGTTGTAGCCTGTTCTGTACCTTGGCTACTTTGAAAGTGTAAGTTTTCCTCTTCTTATCGTCTATATCCCTAACCACAAGAGAGTCTTTTCCGCTACCGCTACAAGAAATAATAAACTCCTTGACTGGAATGTACTTCACCCTTCTGACCCAATCAGAATGAACCTGGCCTAAACTCTGGTATGTCACAAACCGAGAATGTGAAGACAAGTCCTGAAAAAATAAAGGCAACAAAAACAAGTTTATTAGGAATAAAGGCACTTTCAGAAGTTAAATGTTCAAAAAAGAATACTAAGGCTAGCGATGGACGAACTGCCTTCAGGAGGAGAAACCAGTTTACTCAGTGCACACTGACCTGTAGATAAACCTGATGGCTTCCTGATGTTTTCTTGAATGGAGTCTCAAACAGTCCTTTGAGAGGAGTTGAAAATACAAAAAACATGACAACACCATTGTCCATTCCAAGAAAAAGCCACGATTTACCAGCAGGTAGCTAAAGATAAAGAAGGCAACTTAGTAACATTATCCTTTCTTTATCAAACACTGGATACACAACAAAACTTGAATGTCTTTCGGTTAAATAAACTTGTCTGCAGTTTACTGCATTATACGAAAAGGAATTCTCCAGTTACAAAAGGGGCAGGCAGATCTCACCTTTTTGTTATAATAATAGTCAAGACAGAGGACCACATTGCCCAGAGCTGTAATGAAAATTAAAATTAAGTATCAAACTTAAGTCACTGGACCTGTGATCAATAAAAGAAAGACACTAAATTTCAAAGTGGAAAATTAAAAGAGCAACAAACAACACTGGCTTTTGCTGAGTAAATCTTCACTTGTTACACTCACCGCAAAGATGGAATTGTGATGTGTAAATTGGTGTAGACATATCATAGAAATAAATGTCTCTGTTTGTTGTAGACAAAGCCATTTTATGTACATTTGGCATTGCAACAGCATCAGTCACCCACATTTTAATATGGCGTTTATTGGTAGTTCGTTCAGCTTCAGAGTTGCTGTGTTCCATTTCAATTTTCCTCTGAAGTTCCAGTTCAGTGCTCCAGACACCAATGATTCCCTCCTACACAATAATAAAACTTAAGATAAAGTACAAATAAAGAGTGGCCCAAAATTAAGCTGTGAACCAAACTAACTGACCACAAAATTCCAATACTTTAGATTAGAATACAAGTAATATAAATCACAATGGATAAAAGATGTAAAGGGATAAAGACATAATTACTGTCGTTGTTGTTATTGCTGAAAATGTGTTGCTCAGATACAATGTGACATGAGAACACAAAAAGAGAAATGCTTGCTGACATGCTTCCAGGAAGTGTAAAAGTCAGCTGTGGAGAGAATCATATGATTGCATGAACTTAGCAAGTGAGTAGAATGTTGAGCTGAATGGACCTTTTACCTTACTGACTGTAACATATCTCATCGGGTTAAAGTCTGTCAGAAGTTTAGTTGTTGTTTCCTGAAAAAGACAAAACTAATGCATTTGCACTGGTTTCATAAAAAATTGTACTCTGGATAGTATGAAACTTATGATTATGCACAGTGCAGTATATGTACCTATTGACTGACTGGGAGGGCTGGATGGAAAAATATTGTCAGGACATAAGGACCGAGCATACATACAAATGTACAGACTGAGCACAGTAACAGCCAAATATTTCCCCTTGTGGCTCGACCGTACTCAGCGAGTCAATAAGCAGTTTTATCATATGACCGTTGTGTTGGATGTATTGTAGAAACAACACTATAGAAAACATTATTATTATCATTATTCCTATTACTATTATCAACATTATTTAGTCATTAACTTAAGGCGCTTTCGATTTGTCAGAACTGACCACCAAGACCATTCCCATCAAAATGAGAATTTCACTTTTAATCATAACCATTACAATTTCCACAAATTTGATTGGTGCATATTTAACTGCTTTATTTTTCACTAATCATTGTGTAGGGTTGATTTGGATGGTGTAATCGGACAGTTGGCTGTAATTGGACACCTGCATGCAGACAGACAGGTTAGCCAATCATATTAAGTGCACTCAGCTAAATCCACCAATCACAGGAGTTATCACAATAACCATAGCAAAAACCACTTACCCTACAAAACTGGGGATTTTCCAAAATGGATGAATTTGCAACATTCAGACAGTGTCTCCGCCAGTGATATTCCCCTAATTTTGGACTTTTGGTATTCAAATGCTCTTTCACCAAAAAAAAATGCATTTATTTTCTCAGAAATTGAAATGGTTATGATTAGTTGGTAACAGGACTTTGTGTTGTGCAACGGTCTGTAATCATAATTATGGTCATCCGATTTTGTTTATCACTCGTATGATTACAGACAGAATTGGACTCCACTCACTCCTATTACCATTATTAATCAAAACTCTCCAGCCAGATCAGTCAAATCCTACAAAGTATGCATGAAGGAGATGGTTTTTCAGCAAAAACCCTTTGGAAAAAAACGATTTCATTCGCTAACCGACTGGTCCGGCAATTGTCCGGCCGCCGCCAGTTCTGACAAATGGAAAGCATTAATAACTATTACTATTCATTCAAAATATTTTCCCGATTCTGATTGGCTAAAAGCACATGTTTAATTCACCATAACCAATTACCAATGACCAAATTTGGAAGAATTTTGTGTTTAACGAGGAAATGACGTCAGAAATGCAGCTTTTCACAGGTTAAGGCACCGTTAACCGAGAAGACCTGGGGACAAGGTTGAGTTGTTTTGCTTGTGAACTTGAAAAATGGCAGACATTTCACTTGTTTCAAGAGTAAGAACTAGGCGAAAAAATAGCTGAAAACATGGCAAGAACAGCAAGAGGACAACTCGAAGGGCAACATTAATTTGCTATTTGGAGAATATTTGAGGAGCTGCATGCACAAACCTACCTACCTACCTAGCTGCACTATCGAAGATGAACTTAACATTAATGGATCGATGGAGGTAAGCATGTTTTAGCCATGTTTTTAAACTAGGAATTATTTTGAATGAATAATAAAGCAATTATTGAATTCGGCTTTCGTATCAAATGAAGAATTATGGAGATCTCGGAGGGTGTTATCCGTCGAGGCCGTATAACACCCTCCTCAATCTCCATAATTCTTCATAAGATACTCAGCCTCATTCATTATTGTTAAGTTGTGGCTTTTGTTACGAGCCAACGAAAGAAAAAGAGTTTGCCTACGTCATCAGTTTTAGTTCCAATGTTTATAAAACCATTTCAGCTGCTGAGGCGAGAACTTCCACTCCTCGTTCATATATTTCTGCCATGCTCTTTCCCTTAAAATTGCTTTTATTCTTCTGCTTCGACATTTTTGAACATTAAACTTGTTGAGTTTCAAGCCGCGAAAGAGAAATCACATTTATAGGTTAGCGCGAACTTGAAATAGCGAGTTGTAGTTGGTACAAGTACAGTATCGTGGCAGAGAACTATGTCAGAACTTTGAAGGTTTGTTTACAACAAAGGTCATCAAAAGCCACATGAAACTACACCTTACATTACACTTTTCACAGCACGATCGAGAATTTTTCTGCCTGCTGCAATACTTCGCATGGCATGAAGCTGGCCACCTCACAAACTGACCATCTTTGCTTGGCTTGCTCATTGGCAGTAAGAATGTAATTCTTGTCACGAACTTTACAAAATATCCGGCTTATTTTTAGCTTTACTGACTGACGTTACTGTGTACTGTTACTATAAACCGTTTACTAAACCAAACATTTAATTCTTATACGATATATGAAGTGAAATACAGTTGAAAGACAAGCAATGTTCATTTCAGACTATACCTTGTTATGATCTATCCTTACAATGTTCGGCTTAGGAACAAAAGTATTGCCAGAAGCTTTACTGGCCTGGTCATTCTCTTCAAACTGCAACATGAGATAAGTACAGAATTCATCCCAGTCTACCAAACCATCAGATGCAATATCTACCTGCAAAATACAAGAATAATAACAACTTAATAAATAACATAAGAAATCAGTCAATAGGGTTTACTCTACGTACATGTACAAAAGACAAAGATTGCTTACATCTATTGAGCTGATAACAGTTAAGGTGCCAGAACCTCTACATATATGAGTGGTATACAAGGTTCAGGGAGATTATTCAATGTTACGAGGACTGCCGAAAAAAGACATACAGCCAGAAAGGACAAATAGAAAAAAATATATTATTGACAGGGGAATTGCAATACAAAATGACGGCTTTCAAGAGCAATTTCTGGTTCAATGAAAGACCACCAACAAATAAAGTGTCTTTGATTGAGTACACAATAAATTACCTTTTTGAATAATGTTTCTATTTCCTTATCAAACACTGCCACCTTATGATCATCCCAAGTTTCTATGGCTAATAAATCAGCCAGCATTTCATGAAATTCCTCAAGTGTCATGAGACCTGCAGAATGAAACCTGGACTGGTCCCTGAAAACTGATCCCCTGCGTGACAGCCATGCCTTAAGTGCTGCTTTATCTGGGATATGTGTCATAAACTTGAACATAAGACTTTCAAGATGATGAATGTCCAATTCCTCTTCCAAACGAAGGGGCTCCAAAGCTTTCCCATTGCTAAAAATAATAATAGAGTGTACACAATATCAATGACTTAATCACTTAATTGATAAATAACATAAAATTGTCAGGTGCTCATACTATAATTGTAGGTAAAATCCACAATCTATTCTCAGGCTAAATATTCAGCATTCAACCTAATACTATACCATTCAAAAGTAAGTTATTTACTCCCCTTCCACAAGATGTGAATTGTGGCATGCAAAAAAAACCACACAAAAACAGGACTTTGATAAAATTTTTTCTTACATCCATTATTTCCCACATACCATCTGTCCACCTTTCAATTTTTAAGAAGTTTTTCCAGTAATGATTATCATTTCGTAAATTGAGCTCAACCTTAGTGTAAGAACTTGTTTAAATCACAAGTGAAATGAAAAAAAGAAAACAAAGAAGTCAACACAAAACAAAAAAAAAGTTTTAAAGTTCTTACACCCTGCAGGCCAGGCAAACCCATAAAATGTACCCCAAAAGTTACTGAAACCCATGCATGAGGTAATCTTAAGATTTGAGTACTCAGTCACAATAAATCAGGGCTTCTGATATTTCGCACGGTTGCGGAGCCGTGAAATTCAGGTAAATCCGCAAAATCCTGCAAAATTCACAAAAACACACAAAATACCGCGAAATTCCCCAGACATCTTATCAAATACATGTCTGTGCAGCAATTTTGAAACTTGTCTCAGCTACTGGGGGTATTACAGTTTACTTGCTGTAAAATCGCAAATTTACGTCAAAACTTCGTCACTGAAACATGCAAACTACCAGGTATAGAATATGTTGCGAAAAACTGGGCACTAGCTATGATGTTAAAGGCTTTGCTATTGTTTCATTTCTGGAGCGTATTGTTGTTGAAAGAGCAGATGATGACCTCTGTTAGAAAAACATTAAAAACGCTGGTCTGATCAGCGCAAAACCGATCGATTTCTAGCGAAATTTGCCCTGAAAATAACCACAAAATCTGCTGTTTTTTCACCGATTGCTTTCCAGCCAAGTTTGCCCCGAAAATTCCCGCGAAATTGGCCAATTTTTCCGCGATCTTGTCCCTAAAAATCCAACAAAATTTGCCTTTTTTCCGCGACCTATCAGACGCCCTGATAAATGCACTATAAATACAGTGTAGAGCTGGCAACATTCATTTGTTGTGAAGTATAATATATGAAATAATTCATTTTTGAACTGCGGTTGTAGATGAAAGTGAAGAATGATCATCGCAGTAAATTTTCCGATTTAAGCAATTGGAAAGCACAAACCTGAAAAAAGTCAGGGCTTCAACGGGATTCGAACCCATGACCTCCGCGTTACCGGTGCCTTGCTCTACCAACTGAGCTATGAAGCCACACATTTGGAGCGAGGTCAATTTATTTATATTATATTATATTATTTATATTATTGTGTCTGCATAAACATAGATTATTTGTCATGACACATGCTAAAAGTATTATTATTAGCTTGACCACAAAAGTCATAAGTTAGCATACCGGTAATTCATTGCTTGTTGTATTAAATCTGCTATATAAAACACTAAAAAGCCAGGTCTCATTAAATTATATTATCAAATTAACAGCATTAGAGAATTATCAATGGATTTCATAGGCCTTGCTCCTTTTTTATTTATAATGTAGATATAATGTATAAAATAAATGATGGATATGCTTGGCTACAGTGAAATTTAGGTGATTATATGTATATGTAGTTATACAATATATTAAAATTACCTCTGTAAGCTCAGAATTGATTCAAAACATGTTATTCTCACACTCAGCTTGGTGAAAATTTTTAAAACGAAGTGGGGTTTTGCATGATCCCTTACCTTGTCCCCATGACTGCTGAGAGTTTCAAAAACTTTTCTTTTGTTTATACAAGTAATCCCAAATTTTGAACTCTTAAACATCCAAATTTAAGCCTCGCTTTGGTGACCTTGGTTTTCACAGCAGTGAAATTTTTGTTGAGAGAAAAACTATTCTTCTTGACTCGTTTCATCACAATAATTCTCCAATTCTGCAAATCCAATAAGCTTTTTTAGCCTGATTTAGAATTAGAAAAGTGTAGTCATGGTAGTGAAAATATGACAAAACACACCGCAAAGTTCACACTTCATTGATTATGACAATGAATTAGACTAATTTGAATTGGTAATGGGATTGCTCCAAATCTGAAGAGAAAAGTGACAACAAAAGATACAATACAAAGCATAGAAAGCAAGCAGTACTGAGAAAAAAGACAATAGACAAAGTAAAAGGGGTTCAATTTCATTTAACACAAAAGCAGTTGATCAGTGCTTCAGGAAATATAAGGGAAATAGATTGTTTTCTTGAAATAAGGTTGAAAAGAACATTTGCCCTATTACATAGCTCATCCCATTAGAAATAGCAACAGTTGTTCAAAAGCCAAACCACATCAGCCTTCAAATGTTTAAATAATCTTGAATACACATTAAATAGAGTGATAAGGACTTTAAAGACAGTGATTGCTAATCATGTAATTTAAGTTTAAAATTATTGTAGAACTGCTTTTTTAATATCGGCTAAACAATAAAGACAAAAGAATAGTGTGATATTAGCAAAATTTAAGAAGACACTAGGAAGGATGCAGTAAAATGAAATATTAGTGACTCATCTTTCATTGTTTTTTTTTTAAATTAATTTTCTTAAATAAAATTAATGTCTTCCAGTCTGCATGCTGCTATTACACCTTAATTTTGATAAAATTTGTGCACTAAATGCTAGTTTGAGAAGCCTACTACATCATTTCTCTTGAACAGTCTAGATAAAACGTCTTATACATGGGCAATGCACTGACTTCCTATTGCACCCATCCCCATTAATGCAGGACTGCCACCTTTGAAAAGTGTTTATCTACACTGTAACAGACAACAAATAAACAACAAAAAAATTCAAATGACAGAAGCTAAAAAAAAGGAACTTTCTGATAATTTCACAAAATTAATGGTAAGAACAATAGTTGTTTGGGCATTTAAATTTAACTTATTACATTATTGAATTATAGTGCAAAGACAAACAACTCATACAAACAGTGATCAAGTGAATTTAAACCAGAAAAAAGGGATCTTATGTAATTTGTGCACCCCTTGGTGGAGTATTGGTCGACACTATCGGCCGATGTATCAGCCAACTCTCAGTTAACCGAGAGTTGGCCAACATCTCGACCAACAGATCATACTTAGTCAACGGTACATTTTTGTCTACTCAAATTTTTGTTGTTACTAAGTCCACGCAGCAATTTTTAAGGGGCTTTGGTGGCTTTCACCAGCCTAATGTGAGAGTATCAAGTGTGTGTGCGATTTTTTTTGGAAAAAATTGGGGCCATTATGGCATTGCCTTTCAGAGGTATTCAACGACAATCTAACATTACAACATGTGTAGAACAACAGCAGAAATCCAACAAGTTGACGTGGCAAGGGATGGCACAAACAACAGAAAGGAAACTATTTTCAAACCCCCGAACCACAATATCTTGCACGTAACACTGAAACCCAACTCCCCAGTTTATATTTTAAATGACAGTCGACCGATATGACACTGATAGTCAACCGGCGTTCCACAGACAGTCTACCAATATTCCACCGACAATTGACACTCCCTGTATCATCTGAGGGTCGACCAGTATACTTAACATGTATCAGCCAACATGTCAACTTGTAGTTGAGTGTTGGCTGATACACTAGCTGCCATATCGGTGGAGTGTAGACCAACATATGGATTGACACGTTGACCGACAGTCAACTGATATGGCGATCGAGAGTCGACCGACATATGAGCCGATAGTGTCAACCGATACTTGATCGAGGGGTGCACAAATTACGCAAGATCTGAAAAAAGATATAAGCAATAGTTCTGGGATGGGATATCAGCTGCCTGCTTACCACTGGCTCAAAATGCTCTGGAGCTAAGTCTAATGATAACGTTTGCTTAGACACATTATTATTAGTAAGCTGTGAATGTTACACAGCTACAAAGTTCTTTAATTTGATTCTATTTTCATTTTGCTTCTGAGAGAAGCTGGCCTAGGTCATGCTTGTGCCAAACCTAAGGTACAGCTGCCCTGCATATACACCCAGAAAAACAAAACAAATCATGACTGTTTTCCAAGGGTGTAGTTAGAATAACAACCTCTTTCATCTACGAGTTTTCTGCCTATTGCAATAATTTATGGTTATAATTTAAGGTTGTGTAAATAAATTTACGAAGTCTTTGTCCAAAATATCTGTATGTGGCCTGAAGAGGAAATAAAATGCTCAAGAACTTACCCTTGAAGAGTTGCAACATCTGAGAGGGTAGAATTATTACTTAATGCAGCAGATTTCTAAGATTAAACAAAAACATTTACAATATTGTTAATAACCAGTAAAAAAGGAAAGGTTTTCACTGGAGGCCATGCAAGAGCAGTCATCCCAGAGGTCAATACAAATTTGTTTGTATATTTTGGTTTTTGTACATTTACTTGAAAAAAGAACCGGTTCAGTTCAAAATTGAAAGAAAAGTAGTTATGAGTCTTGTCCTCCTGATGCCTACATAACGTAAAGCCAACATGTACAGTACATCATCCTCTTGACACAAAAACACCCTCTTTAGAATTATTATCTTGATCATCCTAGATGAACAGAAATTTCCCACACAAAAAACTTCCATCATCTTTGTCTGTTCTGTTCTAGATTTACTGGATTTGTTATCCGCTTATTAAGATTGTTTTTTCTGCCTTGTGTACCCATTAATGTAATGCCTGCAGGGTAGTGGCTGCAACAGGTTGAGTTTGGTTAGGGTTAGGGTTACCCTAGCAACCCTTGGGCCACTTTATTGGTTACATATAAAAGTTCCCCAAGGCTAAATAAAAGAAAGGTAAAAGAAACGTATATTGACATTAAGAGGAATTACCTCAACCTGATTCAAAATGCCATTACAATCATGGTCAACTAACTATGCAATTAAATTATTTCCTCAGAACCAAAGGAAATGGACTGCCTTTTGCAAAAAACATTAATAAAAAGAAAAGAAGGGTCTTTTATGACAACAAATTTTAGCAGCCAGTACAGACAATTAGCCATCCTCTTGTATGAGCTTGTTTAATGTGCAGAAAAGTTTGTCCAAATGATCTCTGATTCATCTGCATTTGAGACCATTTTGACTGCAGAGAAAGCATTGGGGACAAGATTGATGTCCACTGACAAAAAGCAACTCACTGCTGCATCAAATAAATTTTCCTGGATAACAAGACATTTTTCAAATCTCCACCAAAGATACACTCTTCAATGCCAAAATTTTTCAAGCTTGCATGTTCGAACCTAACAGTCCACACCTAAGCCAGTGACCTTACACACATCCACAGGTGGCGTGTGGAGGGTGACGGGTGGCAGGTCACGGGTCGCAGATGGCGGGTAAACTGGTTCTAAGTAAAGATTTCATGAAATTGACTTTTTGATTTAATACCAAGCAACAAAAGGAAAGGTACGCTCATATTACGTGAAAATTCTCTCTTTTCGATGCCACACCATCAAAAATAAAAATTGCAAACCATTAAAAAAGAAAATTCAGAAAAATTGAAAGAAGAAATATACAAAAAGCCTAGTGATGACTGGAATTATTTCTATTTATTATAACCTCGATAGTGTAAAATTTTGTATATAACTGTATATTGTAATGTTGAATTATTTCAATGTTTACATGTATGTACCAGGTACCAGCTACCAGACTCTAAATGAAAATATTTTCTTGTCTTGTGTACTCATGCGGACTATTTTTCCCAAGAGTTTATTTACTCAAATATGGATAAAAAAACTGAGAAATCATGCCACACGGTGTAGCCTGCGAAAACAGTCACCTCTCCTGGTTCTGCACTGCAAGGAACGTTTCGCAGGCTACACGTGGTGTGTCAAATGTCAAGCAAGACACATGGCATGTGTCTAACCTTATCAAGAACTCCAAGCCAATTTTTTGTACATGCATCTATACACTTTCCTGCTCCATGCCTAATGTTAAATAAGAGGACGTGTGGTTAGAAGGACATCCGACTTCTTAGTCATTTTGTACATGTATATTTTAAACCATGAACCAATCTAATTCCAGATAGTTATTCTAAAAAAACATGTCTGCGAATTTTGATATCTTTTTTTCGATTTCCGAATAACAGCATTTTTCCACGGGTAATGCAAATGTTTATCCTGACTTACGTACTTGTCAAAAATCTGAGACAAAGTTCAGACGTGTCAAGAAGTGAATGCTATCTTAATCGTCTTGCCTCAGAGTAAGTTTTAATTTACTTTTCATGAGTTCATCAAGCTATCTTGCAAAGAAAAAATATCGCTAAAATATCACTATGCTTTTTGTATATTTTTCCTTTCTGGACTTTCTTTTTTTAATGGTTTGCACTTTTTATTTTTGACGGCGTGGTATTGCAAAGAGAGAATTTTCACGTGATGTGAGGGTACCTTTTCTTTCGTTGCCCGCTATTAAAATAATCAAAAAGTCAATTTCACGAAATCTTTACTTAGAAACAGTTAATCCGCCACCCGCCATCCGTGGAAAAGTCCTGCCGCCCACCCACTCATTTCAGACAAAACATAATATCAACATAATATTTAGTCCTCTGTTCAACACGATATTCAGTCCTTTGTTCAGAAATGATAATCGCTTCTATTCAAAACAGGTAACATGACTGACCCGCATACCGCCCTGGCTACGATCACTTCGATATCGACGGCCGGTCAATAAACGTACTTTATCAACATCAACCCTTAAATATTTACCCTCACGTTATTTGTTAAGGTTGGTTAAGGATCAAAGCAAATAAGATAGCTTTTTTGCAACTTTCAAATAAAAATCTGCAGGGAGATGTATTCGTGCAAGATCTTACACATCCAAAGCACGGTTGAATCACGAATAATAGTTACAAAATAATAAGGACTTAAATAATATTATCAACGGACCGGAAACGACAATCTAGCCTAGCTCGAGGATCAAACAAACAAATAACGATGTAACTATTCGCACATACCTTTGCCTGAATTCGAGACCAAACTACTGGGGCAAGCATTCGCACTGTTGTGTCAAACCGAAGACGAGAATGGATCGATTCAGATCTTAACGAAGACGACGCCGATTGGCCCCGGGAACTTCCCGATTGGTTCTCGGTTCCTGGTACCTGAAGGAGGGACATGGTCGTTTCCAAGTCGTTTCCTGGGTAATAGACGAAAAATTCTTGCAATAAATGTGTTCTTCTGTGTATGAAGACTTACTTTCGTCTAAAGCTAGCTTTTTAGCAGAAATGTTCCCCTGAAAAGTCGAGCAGACCGGAGGTATCGGTCATCTCATTACTTGTTGGGTATGGACTTGAGTTCCACATTGTAGATTTATTTTTTTATTTATTTGTTTAAGGGGTTGAAGACAGTTCATTTATTAAACGAGCGATTCGAAGATGTTTAACTCGGGTGACACTGTCTACTGGGGCTAGTTGTCGGGGGCGAATTGTCTGACATTACTTATATGCTATTTTATATTAAATCATTGAATAGCCCGGGTTAATATCATAAACACAGCAGTACTGACGTGCTATAGAAGGTTTTATTGCAAAGCAATTTCTGTTTCTCTGAGAGTTTGATCCATCTTGATACGCTGTCAACTTGTTTCAAGATTGACAAAGAAAGCACTGAAAACAGCTGTTTATCCACTGTAATACTAACACACCGTCAATTTGGTAATTGGCTAAACAGCTCTCACTCAATAAAATAAAAGGACATACTTGAGCTATTAAAAAAAAGCGTATTAAAAAGTGTTTTGAACTGAATGAAAGTGTCGGCCCTACCGCTTGAAGTCATGCTTGTTTCTCTATCTTCCTGAAGAAGTGTCTGATAGGCTTCTGTCCTTTTTCTCCATGACTGCAGTAATATCCCGGTGTACGGCTAAAAACTGACTTGTCTTTGGATTTTCGGATTGAGAGTGCAGTATAAATCCGCAACGAGTCAAATCACATTGGCAATTACACAAAGCTTTTAGAACGGAATAATCGTGTTATTATGTGAATAGGTTTGTCAATCAACCGTAAGCTACTCTGAAGTTGTCGTCATGGCAACTTCACGGGTAATTGGTTTGTGTTATTGTGCGACTTAGTAAAGAAGTCAGAACGTGTAATTACGCTTTTGTTGTAAAGGATTGCAACACAAGAGCAATAAATTGTTGAATGCAAAGCACCGTTTTTAGCTCTTAGTCTTTGATTTGGGCTTTTTGTCACCATCTCCATCAATCTCAGCGCTATTATATAACCCATTTGAATTATATACGGTACGCGAGTCATGATAATACGAAAGACGAAACCGGATGCATCTGTACCTAGATACATCTTTCTCTACGAATCCTTCAGTAACAGTGCACAAAAAGTCAGCGACTGTTCTGAGAGCTTAGCGTGGCCTAAATTTGTAAGTCAGATGAGAATCAATAACGTACAAAGACTAAAGACGGAAAGTGCTTAACTAGAGCACATAGCTGTAGGTTTGACGTCATTTTTTCAAAATCAGCTTGTTACATGCTAATTAAACAGTAAGTTTACAGAACTGATTAAAACCTTAAGTTAGCTTGAGTTAGCTTGTTGCAACACTAATGAATTATTCACAATAGCCACGATGACACCTTGATTTCTGAAGGGTGCTTTGAAAGGTTTAACTTGTTGTCTTCTGATAGACCTAACAAACGAAAAAGAAGATAAAAATAATCAACTTAATTGCATTGGTGAGAGCAGTCCAGTACAGGCTTTCTTTATCTTACAGAGTATAAGTTCATAACGTTTGTGGAGAGGGACGAAATACGAGCTCCCCTAAAAGGGTTCCTAAAAACGCCTGCGTATTATTACATTACAAAAGACTAATCAACTTCAGCATTGCACACTTAAAAACAATTTTGTTTTATATAAATAAAAATACAAATAAAAACATTTAAATCATTAATAATGAAATGTTTATAAAGGTACTTGCTGCCTTATGAATAATGCCGGTTCAGTATCAGTTGCCCCTCAACGCTAGTCTATGTTTCCTGAGTGTGATGAGAAAATTTACTCCCAATTCAGTTATGATGTACTGAGTCGGGTTTAAAGCTGATTACTGAGGGAGCTTTAGCATCTACGTCGGGGACGGCAACGAGAACTGCGAAAAAGAAATAGCTTTAGATTTGCAAAACAATGGTTGTCATTTACAAAAAAAAATTCGAAAAATCTGGTTGGAAAGTTAACGGAACACGACTTTTCCGGGTCGTTTCAGTGGAAAATTTCTGTGATCAACGGAACGTCTGAAAGGTAGTCCTGTTTTTCCGGCGGTCGGAATATTCCAAACGGAAATTCGCGGTCCATTTCCTCAAAGTCATCTTTTTATACCATTTTTAGGCTTTCGCAGCTGTTTTTTTGGTAAATGGAACTAGTGATATGATTTCTGCAATAAAGGCGATTCCGGGACGAAATTTAACAGTCCTTAATTTTGCTTACGTGATTTACCTAAACTGTGAACCGGCCTCTCGCCATGTAAATGGCCACTTACTCGAGGTCCCTGCAGTGTCCTTGGATTAATTTATATTTTCTTTTGTTTTTGTGTGTTCATGTTAAGTATGATAATCAGCTCTACAATCAACTCTCTTTAGAGGGTGCGAATGGGGTTAACAGCTAACTGATATTTGTCCAAAATAACAGTAGTTAACTGATGATTGGCCAAAAAATTAGTAGTTAACTGATAAGTGAAACGTTTACATTTAAGTGATATTGTATTAATATTAATGAAAACAACAAAGTTTTGCAAACAGAAATGCTATTTTCTGACATTTTTTCAGTGTTTCGCTGTTGACCCTCTGGCACATTAACTGATATTACTATGTCTGAAAAGGCACCAGGGCAGTACCCGACAAATAGAAAGCGTCAATCATAGAGCTGGTCTGGTTGTAAAAAACTCAACGAATAATTCGTTTTCTAATATTAACAAGATTTCTGTGCTCGGAAAGAGAAAATACCGCTTTCACGGACCCAAAAGATCGTCAAGTTAAACATTACTACCATTAAAAAAGCTGTGACTCTTAGCATTGGATCTGGCCGAAAAGAATTCCTGAGGGTTCAAAGAAATCAGCAATCTTTTTAAGTACATGGAATTTGTACTTACATGAAATCATTTTTGTGACTGATGTTGGAGTTCTAACTATTGAGACTTTTTTAATAAGAAGAAAAGCTCGTGTTTAAGCCGGTCTTTCTGTGATAGTCTCGCCAGTTTCATTTCTTAAAACCCTCGGATATCTTTATGAGGCTTTTGAAATACGCGAAAAAAGTACGTCTGCGAAAAAGGTAGCATTGAGGGACGCGAAAGAACATGTCGACAAAATCTGTATCAAGGTATAAAAAACTTCTGACAACGCAGGTGGAAAGCCTACACTCGTTTCTCACTTCAACACAAAACATTTAGTGCTTTGAACTACGCCCAAGACTTTGGAACCACAGTAAAGCAATTGCTTAAAAGAACTACGAGCTCGAAGTGGGCTACACTCACGAAAAGTCGAATTGTCACGTGTCATGTCTTGCCTTTGTCAGCACTCTCAACTATGACTCTCCCATCGGTGCAAAGTTTGCACCTATGGGAGAGACAATTGAATTCCAAAAATAATAGTCCAGTTTTGCTATTTAAGACTATATTTTGGCGTTGATAATGTTTCTCGTCGTCTGTTGCAATGAATTGCAAGGATTAAAAATGGATTGAAACGTAGGCCAACATGAAGAGACAGGACATACAGCAACCAGATAAGTACAAGACTGATTTCGATCAGATAATGAAAGTGCCGAAGAAGGTGACTTTTGAAGTAGTTTATGGCAGGACATGCATGGGAAGATCAGTACGAGATCATGACTGGTGCGTCTGGGTCTATTTTGGTTATACGACTTATATTTCCAGTAACTAACAAATTGAACTGGTGGCAGAGTTCAATTAAATTTATACCTTGATTTTAGTATGGCCTACCCCTAAAAGTGATTGACTCGCTGAAAGAAGGAAAATTCGGGTTATGACGGAATAATGTTCGCTGTAGGGAAGTGAAAGTTAATGGCTAATCATCAAAATTAGTAGTTGACTGAGAATTGGCCAAAAAAAATAGTAGTTAACTGATATTTGGCCGAATAAAAAGTAGTTAACTGAGAATTGGGTACCCTCATTAGCACCCTCTCTTTACAGCAGATACAACAGGTGACCTCGAGTTAGAGTCCTCATTACAGCGAGTCCGTCATTGCGCGAGTTAATTTCAGGTAAACGTCGGTAATTTACTTTTGCCTTTTTGGATTTAGCTGTTATCCAAATTATCGGGGTGTCCGCTATAGAGGGGTGTCAGCAAAGCGAGAGTTGACTGTATGCTTTGTTAAGAATAAAAAAGACAATAAAAAAGAGAGAAAGAAATAAAGTAATGGAAATTTACACATGACATTCAGTAGCGGCTGGTTATCCATCGAATTTCTAACCCTCCCAACAGGCTCCCCATGAGATTCTTTACGTTTAACACTATCACAGGCCTAGTTACTATCTCATTCAGGTGCGGATCCACACCTGTTTCCACCGTTTTACGACAATCGTTCAGATTTTTCATAATAGATATATTTTTAATAAAGAAACACTTTTCAAGTTGCAAGGCTTTATCCCAGTAGAATGGAACAAGCCAATATCCTGTCTGAATGACTCAGAGACCCAGGAAAGGGGACTTCAGGGAGTTAAAATCGAAAAAAATTCCCAGGGCGGGGGACATGCCCCGAACTCCCCTAGAAGCTTGCGCCTTCGGCGTTCGTTTAGGAAATCGTTCAAACATTTATCCTAGATCCGCGCCTGTCTGATTTACAACTTAGTAACCATATTTAGAAGAGACGAATTCTCTCAAACCTGCGTGCAGGCTCATGGCCCCCTCTTCCTCCCTCATCCATGCTGGAAGAGGACGACCTAGCCTCCCACGCGGGCGTTTCAGTTGAGGGGAGCTCGTGTTTTGTGGGGAGGGATGAAAAACGAGCTCCCCTAAAAACGCCTGCGTGGGAGGCTAAGGACGACCAGGTGGGTCGCAAAAATCGCATTTCGGGAGTGAAAGAGAAGCAAAGAGCTTGGTTTATGACTCAAAGGAGTCATGAGTCAAAGTTTGAGTTAGGGATTAAACTCTCGGAAACTGACT